CGGTTAGTCTATAATTATTAAGCTATATCATATTATATGTATTAAGTTATATATGTAATAACATGTAATACACCGTGGTTGCCAATGGTAAAGTAAACTGATGCGACCTTAAATAAAGAAAATAAAAAAAGTAACATAAATAGAACAATTTATTACAACATAAAAAGAGGAGCAGGATAATATACAATACAAAAATGCATTTTCACCTGCGTGTTTCAATCTAATTGTAAATTGTGTAATATGACTCACATTACATATCATGATTTTACTTGTTAATAAATTGTATCCAGAGTTGTTTCGGTATTATTTGCTCCTTATGACTATCCATGAAATTCTAAAAAATCGGAAGGCGCAGAATTATTTGCGATATATAGGGTGTTCGGAAAATCGTGGTACAACCAACAAGGGATTGATTCTATATGCAAAAATAAGTCGAGAAAGAGGAATTACATTTTTTTATTTAAGGCTCCGTTTTCGAGAAAACTGAGTTGAAAGATGCGTCGAATTCGCGTGGCTTGTAATATGACGAGAAGTAGAATTGGTATGTCATGACCACACGCGCTAGTTGATTCCTATTCAATAGTATTACTTTTTCAACCTAATTTTTCTCAAAAAACGGAGTCTTAAATAAAAGAATATTATTCTTCTTTCTCGACTTATTTTTGCATGTAGAATCAACTCCTTGCCAGTTGTACCACGATTTTCCGAAAAAAGATACCCTGTATATATAGATAAACCATTTCATTACCTCGTTTAGTATTTATTCAAAATCCTTGCAAAACTCTTTCATCCCGGCTACAGAGGCCAATAACTGGCCACGTTAATATCCACATTTCACAGGTACACTGAAATAAATAAAGTACTAAAAATGTTCAATTGCTTTTTATTCCCACAAATAACCTTGATATGTAATTGCGATCGTACATTACAGACATGTAAGTGCGATTGTACATTGTAAGCATGTAAATGCGACTGTATGGAAGCTCCGTGTAGGAGGCGGAGAAATTTGTTGGACAATGGTTTACAGAACTGCGCAAAACCTGTCTAAAACAGTTTACATATTACTGAAATGACGATCAGAGATAACAACAATCAAGCTGCAAACTTTTGTAACTAATTAAATCGAATTTAATGAGAAAGAATTATCTAAATCAGGCATTGGCGAGTCGCGGCCCGTAAGCCAATCTGGCTCTTTCCCACTCCTACGGCCCTACGTGGCTCATCCCTCACGCATCCACGAGACACGAAAAACGGTATGACATTATTTCTTCCGTGTTCCACGCGGAGCTGTTCATGTGCATGGAGTGGTAGTAGTAGTGGAGCATGTGGCCCGCGACCGAAATGACTCGCCCATGCCTGTCGTAAATTATTCATAGAGACAAGCTAATACTATGTTTTTCATTTAAGGCTTCATTTTTCAGGAATAACGAGTTGGAAAATGTATCACGTTCGCGTGGCTTATGTATTGCGAAAAGTAGAATTGGTAGGCCATGAACAGACGTGCCACTTAAATTCCTATTCAACAGTACGATTTCTAAAACCTATTTTTCTCGAAAATAAAGCCTCGGTTGAAAAATCTTATTTTGCTTTCTTAGTTTTCTTATTTCTTCATCAGGCAGCACTCTATAACCCGCTTATACATCTTATTCCGTTGGATTCGTATATGTATGAAAGAAATCTATATATATATATATAATATCTGTATATGTATGAAAGAAAATGGATGCGCTCCGTTTACGTCGCAATTGAGCATAAAATTCGAAATGTGCAACTAATTAATTCAGATTCTTCATTTTAAAAGAAGAACTTTATAATTATATCAAGAATAAATAATTCATGGCTTTTTAATCTTTATTGCGCCGTAATTTTCATACTTTAACAACTGTATATAATTGTACAATAAATATTATGTGTAACAAATAATTCTAATATATAAGAATTTTCAGAATTAACATGTTGAATACTTGTCTAAACTCTCATTGAAAAACAAGTCGAAGTCCAACACCTTAAAATATATATTTTTCAAACCCCTTTTGAAAGCTGTAATTTTTGTACGTATTACATATATCATATTGAACTGATCTTGATGCGTTGCGACATAATCATTTGAAATGAATAATTTGCTTGGCCTGCGAAGCTCTAAAGGATTATTATTCCATGGGAAAAATATATTCTTAAAATGCTAACATGGCAGCATCGAATTTTTGCAACAAAAAGTCGTTTTCCATGTAGACGTGGTGCTACAACATGAATATTTCACGAAATATGAATATGCAATAATTGCATGATGGATAATGGTGTACCTAATAAATAATTCATTAGGTAAGAATGGTTAAAACGCTTTATATACCCCAAAGCACCGTTGAATTCTACTCGAGACCTTCAACATGGCGATAAACCAACTTCTTTCTATCTTAGTGATCTGCAGTTGTGGATGTGAGTATTTAGATTTAAGGGGCATCTTTCATTATGTTTTTAGTACAAGAAATGTTGTTGATAATTGAAATAATTTGTTCTTCATTTTAATTTATAACTTGTATAAAAAGGTCTACAGTTTAGTGATCAAGAATGTAGAGTAAATTCTCCCTAAATAGTCTGTGTTAGAGGCTTGCTTACATTGTCCATGCGATATTCTTACGCCTATACCCGTAATTCTTACGCCTATGCTAAGGTTTGACGGAGTCGGTCTGGTTAGCTCCTTTGACTAGAATTCCCGGAATGACAACTCATAATATAGTAACATAACTCTTTTAATTTTAACATTTTAAAACTAATTTTTTTTTTAACATATTGCTGATAGCTTCCTGACTAAAATGAGATCAAACATGATATAGAGCATATTGTGTTTGGTCTCATTTTAATTGGAAGAATCTGAACAATATGTTAGTAAAATTTTCATGTATAAAAAATTAGGAATAAGAAAGTTAAAGCATTGTTTTTATTCTAGCATTGTCGTGTATTTGTATTAATGTACACCGACATGTTGGCCGCTTTGTTCCAATCTTTGTTCTCTCTCTCATCGTCACGAGATGTCGGCAATTATAAAGCTGAGCCGCGAGGCTCGAAGAATCGTATCTAGATTGCCTAAGTCAATACTCGGAATACTTCGACACGCAACGTATCTGTCGCCAGGGCTACGCCTGCTAACTACCGCCACAGTACCTATCTCGCTCCTCGCGCTCCTAACATCAGCTCACAGCCACGGGGAACGTAATGCTTCGGTGATAGTCAGGAGGCGTAGCCCTGACAGCAGATATTTTGCGTGCCAAGGCGTTCCAAGCACTGGCCTAAGTTATTCATTTTTCGATTCCAAGCTTCGCGACTATTGGGGAGATTTTACTGTAATTAGATATAGTAACAATTATATTTAGGTATTAATTAATATATGAAATTTAATAAGTTTACGCACCGTTAGTCGAATTTTTTTAAAATAATCGTGGGTAGTTTTAAAATAATCACCATGTTCATATGCTAATAGCAATTGTAATTTCGTTTTATCTACAGATGCAACTTTGTCGGCAGCGCAAAGTGTGCCTACAGCATTTGCGCAAGCAGCCAAAGACGTGCTATCGTTTCCGCTCGATACAATTACCGCATATCTTTTCGAGGAGTAAGGAACAAATGTTACATAAAAGTGTATAATTTTAATAAGTTGATAGTAATATAACAAAATACCCTTAAATTCTTGTGATATTTTCAAATTTTTTAGTAATAAAATTATAATTAAGGAATTCTCTCTTTCAGAAATCTATCTGCTATGAAGTTTAAACCAACAAATGGGGCTCTTGTTACGCATCAGCTTAATGCGACTAAAAGAACGTTAATACATTGCCACGGTTACTTACAGTCGACAGATGACCCATTTGTCACCAGTCTAATACGGGGTTCGTATTGATAAAGAATTATAAATTTGACATTATTTTTTATAAAGGAAAAATTTTGAACGTCTCTCTCTCTCTCTCTCTCTATACATCTTACAGTACAGAATGGTGAAATGACAACAGTGCATGATGATATAAAGAAATAGTAACGGAGTCTAACATTTATTTTTGAAATTGTTGCAGGTTATGTGACCGGTTATGATTACAATATCCTAGCAATCGATTACAGGTTTGTCACGTACAACTTCTATCCGACTTCAGTTCTACTGGCCGGCGCTGTATCCGGTGTTGTAGGGTATTTTGTAGAAACTTTAGTGCGGGCTGGTTTGAAGGAAGAGGACCTAATACTAAGTGGATTTTCCCTGGGTGCTCAAATTATGGGAAACGTAGCACGCAGATTACCCTTTAAAGTTCATGAATTACTAGGTGTGTAAGATCGATTGACAATATAAATAATCACCAAAATAACCTTGACAATACAAGACGAAACTGCAATAATTAGAAACATTTGCTTTAATTAATTGCCTTCCTCTCGCGATTTTCCTTTTGTATTGTCATGAAGAATTGTTTTCTTTAACCCTAGAAAGATAACCATATGACAACGTACGTAAAAGATAACCATACGCTTCAGAGGCGCATGCTTTTCTAAGGCGTCAATTTTATACTAACAATGGATATTTATTTAAGTTAATCTAGTCATTTTAAAGGTTTGGCATTATTGTAAAAATAAAATGCATTTATATTATATTTTTTTATATTTTAAGTAATTTTAAACTTAAATCACTAGACCTCTATGAAAAATTAACAAAAATCAACAGTCTTCGCAGGCGCCTCTGCGACGTAGGTTATCTTTCTCGGGTTAAATAAGTATTCAAATTAATTCAAACTCGAAAGTATTCAAATTAATTCATAAAAATTATAATAGTATTATAGTTTATAAAAATTAGCGATCCAGAGACTTCGGGATGTATGATATTATGTTATATGTATGATATTATGTTATAATAACAAAAATTCCGTCTTAGCAGTAATAGTGGTAGACTCTTAACATGTTAACCGTCATGTCAGTCATCGGTGACACTATACTTTTCACCCGGATCGCGTCAGTCACCGGTAACATGATATTCTTTCATATAAATAAATTTTAAATGATTTGGAGATCGTAAAAAGATGTATTTAAATATTATTTATTTGGAATTTTTAAATTGTAATGGGTATTATTATAACGCGTTATTCGCAGATTTAACAGAATGTTATACAGGGTGTCCCAAAAATGTTTTGCAATCCGGAAATGGCGGGTTCCTCGGATCATTTGAAGCAACTTCTTCCTTTACAAAAATTTTCGCCGAGGCACCGTTAACGAGTTATTAACGAAAAACAGTGACCAATAAGAATCAAGTACGGCTGACGCGAGGTGGCCCAGCCAATCAGCGCACGAAGCCTAGTTCCGCTCATTGGCTCGGTTGCCTGGCGCCAGCCGAGCTCGCCTCTCATTGGTCACTGTTCTTCGTTAATAACTCATTAACGGTGCCTCGGAGAAAATTTTTGTCAAGGAAAAAGTTGCTTCAAATGACCTGAGGAACCCGCCACTTTCGGATTGCGAGACATTTTTGGAATACCCTGTATAGCTTAGCAGTTAATGTATTAATCAAAGTTCTTCGCTTCCAGCTTTGGATCCTGCCGGACCATTGTTCAACTTCGTTGGAACCTCAGTGTCTGCTTCTGACGCGCTTTGCGTGAAGTGTGTTCACACTGACGAATACTATTATGGCACCTTTAAACCTTGCGGTCATCTAGACTTTTATCCCAACGGTGGAAGTAGAAATCAACCTGGTTGTACGTTCTTATCGAGCGTATGTGAGTAACGTATTTTTTTATTTAAGCCTCACAAATAAATGACAGACAAAAATAATAAATAATATATCATTATATTATATCATTAGTGCAAAGATAGTTTCTGCAGTTTGAAAAAAATGTGATTGTTGGAAGAATTATTGTGCGTCTAGTATTTCCGTAGCATTCTACTATAAAGGGTGTCCCAAAATTATGATACTTCCGGGAAATGAGTCTAACCTTCCTGAGGTTATTTGAAGTGACTTTTTCCTTAGCGCAAATGCTAACCGCGGCATTGTTTACGAGTTATTAACAAAATAGAGTGACCAATAAGAGACGAGTTCGGTTAGCGCGAGGCGGCCAAGCCAATGACCCATCCATTGGCCCGCAACCCATTGGCCATTGTTTTTCGAAAATAATTCGTAAATAAAACCATCGATTACATTTTTGCTACTAAAAAAGTGGCTTCAAATGTCCACAGGAATCCCTCATTTCCCAGTAGTAGCATAATTTTAGGACATTATTATTATATACTAATGATTGCAGAATACATTCACAGCCATCATAATTTTACAGAATTACAACGTCAATTTTCTGCATCAATTGCGAAACACAAAAGTCGAATAAAAAGTTCTTTCTTCTCAAATTTTGTATGGTCTATAGAATTCTTGTACACTAGATTTCTTGCTAATCAATCTTCGATCTTAATTATTGCTTCATCAAATTTTGCAGCCGCGTGCAGTCACGAAAGGGCAACGGAATTTACGACAGAGGCTGCGCTAGATCCACATGGTTTCCCTAGTATACAATGCGATAGTTGGGCCGACTTTAAAATCGGCAAGTGCAATAAGTCGGCTGTAATTCCGTTTGGACAAAATGCGCCGTGCAGCGCGTTAGTATTACATTTTTTACTTTATATACTTCTAGCCCCAATTTATCGTTACATAGTCCCAAAACTTTGCTTCGTTCTCGACTCATGAGAATTCAGACTAGTTTTTGACATTAACAAGAGGATGATGAATCTATTTATACCATATTTTCATTTTTGAACTCTTGGGATATTTTAGATAGTTTATATTAAGTCCTACTTTTTCTTTTTTAGGTCGGGCAAATATTATCTTCAAACAAACAAGTATAAACCTTATGCGAGAGGAATGGCTGGCATAACCTACGATCCCTCACTCAACAACAATTTCCCCGAATCTCCATTCTTCCTCTAGATTTTGCATATTTCTTGCTTTCGCATTTCTTAAATTATAAGGAACATTGGAAAAATATTAATGGTCCTTTCTAGGATACGTGTGTGCAGTAATAATATCTGTTCTTTCAATGTTGCAAGACCAATAAATGTTTCTGCATGAATCTTTTTGTTATTTTTAAATACACACGCACGCACGCACACACACACACACACAAATATCATTATTCAAATTCTTCTATCTTTAAAATAAAAATATTTTTATTTACTGTTCTTTCATTGTCAAATGTTCTTAACAAAAATTTAGTTCGAATAACATTTTTCGTTCAAGCTAAAAAATATTGAAATCTAGAATTTTAGTAATAAAAAAGTTTGAGTTGTAGTTTATGACTGAAATTTATATTGTTACCGAAATACTGATTACGAACTTTGCTTAGAAGTTACCGGTTAATGCGTCTGCCCATGGCTGACCTTTTCTACTTCTTCCATGTACGAATGCACGCGCGCTCGATTCATATTACGACACTAAATATTTTTAACGTAGGCATATGTATTTTGATACATGCATAGGTATGTATATGAATGTTAAAAATAACTTGTTATTAAAAGGTGATAGAAATTATTTTATAAATTACGTTTTACACTGTCGGTATCTTCTCATTTGCATTACACGATTTTAAAGTATGCAACAAAATAATATTCTAGACTCATATAAAAAACACTAACAATAACTACGAAAATAAACGCTTCATGTTAAATAAACCTAGTTTATTCTTCACTTGGCTAATTACTAAAGTGTTAATCAATAATACAGGATGTCACAAAATTCTGTCACGATCATCATAGCGGGATTCTACACTTTTACATCGGTAGAGATATCTTAAAAAAAACTTCGCGTAAAATTGACCTTGATCTTGAAAATTAAGATCAAATTGTTTGTTGCTATATAATATAGTACTCATCAGGAGGAACAATGGTCTGAAAGGAACCATGGGTTGTAAGTCAATCCTACAGATAAAAAATGATGTTAAAAACGACATATAAAAATCATATGTCACGCCCTCCACACTCAAAATCGTGGTACTACCGGCCAGATAGTGATACTACATGCAAAAATAAGACGAAGAAAAAGAAAAATATATTTTCATTTAAGGCTCCGTTTTCGAAAAATACTGAGTTAAAAGATGCGTCGATTTCACGTGACTTGTAGTATGACGAAAAGTAGATTTGGTAGGTCATGACCAGACGTGTCATTTGATTCTTATTAAATAGTATTATTTTTTCAATTCAATTTTTCTCTAAAACGAAATGTTACTCTTTTTACTCGATTTATTTTTGCATGTAGAATCACTACCTGGCCAGTTGTACCACAATTTTGGTTGTGATGATCGTGACGTATGATTTTTATATGTCGTTTTTTATGTAAAGAGAGGACTTACGACTCATGGTTTCTTTGAGTCTATTGTTCCTCCTGACGAGTACTATATGATGTAAAGTTATGGTCAATTTTGCGCGAAATATTTTTAATAGATCTCCACTGATCCAGAGGTGTAGAATCTTGCTATGGTGGTCGTGACATATAATTTTGTAATACCCTGTATATATCAGTAGTTGTAGTTTAACTTTGTTAAATACAAATGTTGTTTTATGTCTGTTTCCTCGAATTTCATTTCGAGTGCTTGCGCATAAATTTGGATTCAGACTGCAGCTATTACGGCAAACACCTGTTGCAGAATTCAAACATTTAATTCCGAATAGTCCAAATTTTCAGTTTATAGTTTGTGACACGTAACTGCAATTATACTAAAAGTTATTAGTGGGCTGACGGATATTTCGTTGTTCGATAATTTCAGGAATCATGCAAATTAATTTCGTTGTAGAGAAAAAATTTGTGACACGTATCACAGGAGTGGCATTGACGAGGATCATCTGTTCTATATGTATGCGGGATCTCGATTAAAGAATCACTTAATTTAATATTTTAAAGAAAGAAATATATATTCTAGTGCAAACTTCGATGTATAATACTTCGAGGCTAGACACTGACTACCGTCGCCCATCTTCCTTCTTTCTTTACGCTACCTCGCTTCGCTCGCACACCATCCCCGACTCGCAACACACACACATACACACATATACACACATACGCACACACGCGCGAGCGCGCGCATTGTGTATAAGATAAGATATGCATGGTAACATTGTAATTACTTTGAAAAGCTTGCTATTATCAAGTACCAGGAAGTTTCATTATTTCAAAAAACATAATTATAGAATAAAGAGGCAACAGATAAGGCTGAAACTGATAAATGAGACTATATGTATATGCCGACTATGAGTAGATTGAATACACAGAATCACGTTCGTTTTGATTTTCAACTTCCAAAATGACGAACTATCGACTTCCTGCCATTTTCGTCATTAGTTTCTCTGTTCTGAGTAGTAAGCACCTCGATAATGCTTTGTTTAAAAAGAGAAATATTTTGTCACGTTCTATTGAATACAACAAGCTATTTAAGCTATTTGAGAGCAATCGAATTCGGTTATTCCCCTCAATTCTACAACCGAATTTTACATCGCATACGAATATTGTGATTTTTAGAATTCTGCAATCATAATTGTAATTGTTTTAGATTTGTCTGACTGTTTTAATACAGTAAGTACATACTAATTACAATCCATTTCGTCTGCAGCTACAGTTTCGTTTTCAATTAATTGCAACATAAAGATTCATCTCAATTTTAGGTAACTATTCCTATTACTTTCCATTAGGAAACATACATTTATGTTACTTTAGAGTTGTTAATGATGGAACGAATTTATATGGTTGCGAAATTACAAAATCGTAATGAACTCTCTTTTCCTCAGAAATGGCAGTTCTAAAGTTGAGAATGTTGCACAAGGGCCAGAACTTCTCCAGGACATGGATTTGCAAGCAATCACATTGATACACTTTCCTGGTTACATCGAACCTGTAGATCTTGCTCAAGTTAAAGCAATAGTAAACGGTACAATTTAATTTAAATTCAAAATGCGTTATATACATATGTATAATGATTGACTCGTACTACAGATTCTTTTGGTTTTTAAATTGTTCAAACAGGTGAGAGGCGAGATCAGTTGGGCTTCGTCTGCACAGTAAGGAAAAGTTACTCCAAATTTCCTCAGGAAAGCCTTATTTTTTGATTGCGAGTGACTTTTGGGACAACTTGTATATTGAATTATATTTTATATTTATATTTTTTATTACGATAGCAATTTCGCGACTGCGAGTGACTTTTGGGACACTCTGTATACATTTCGAATATACTAGACCATATTGACATAACAGATTAATTCATAGTCGAACACAAATAATAGAAACACCATACTACTGTTACAATACTCATTTAATTGTTGCAGGTTATTTAAATAGTTCCAATTTCAATGTCATATCATGTGATTATACCTGTGTCTCACAGAGAGATTATATTTCGGCAGTGGTTCTTCTCGATGATGTGGCCACAATTGTCGCTAAAAGTATAAATGATATGGTTGCGGCTGGAATGAATCAAACTAAATTAATACTCTCTGGAATGTCTTTGGGTTCACAACTCTGCGGCTTCATTGGGCGCAAATTATTCTTCGCTCTCTACCAGTGATAATAGGTACACATATATTTCCACAGTTCTTTTGCACCTCAAAATTACGTTACACAATTTATACAAATAAGTAATTTAAACTCTAAGGAAAGTAAATCTTATTATCAATACTTGTTTATTACTACAGATAGCTCAGTTGTAGAATGACAGATTCAATAATTATTTCTTGAGGAAATTAAATTTTTTATTTACAAATTGCTTGTAAGTCAAGTATATAAATCAATGAGTCAAGTGTATAAGTATATGAGTCAAGTATATAAGACCATCACTCGCGAGAAGTATTTCACGGCAAAAGTAATATATATACGGTGTAATTACGGTTTTCGATTTTAATCTATAAATGAAAAGAACTCGTTAATTACAAATTGCATAAAAAATGTGTCGCATAGAAATTAAATTGTTTCGAAGGAACTACAAGATGACATAATTCATTTTCCTGTAAGTGTACGCGTACAGGGCATCATGTAATTTTGAATACACTTATCGGTTCACAAAATTAGTCGTCAAATTCATTGTCACCTTAAAGCAGTCAATATCTACACGACCATCACTTTGTAATATTTGCACTCAAGTATCTTGTAAACTAATAATTTTTTGATATATGAAGTCTAATATTTTTTTTGTTCGGAACGATGGACTCAACTGATAAGTGTATTCAAAATTATGTAATTCCGTTTGAAAAAACAAAGTTGACCTTCATTTGTCTTGTACGCGCCCACTTACAGAAAAATGAATTATGTCAGTCCGAGTTAATGAATTATTTTCACTTATAGATTAAAATCGGACACCCTATATATGTACATTTGAATAAGGTATTCATTCGAGGAAATGTCAAATAATTTTCCGAGAAAAATTTCTTAATTATTATGCTTTTTCCTGATTGCTAAATATGACACTTTAATATGAAACTGCTTCTTTTACAGGTGGTGATCCAGCCGGACCATTGTTTAATATTACCTCCCCCTCGCTATCTGCATCTGATGCAGCTTGTGTAATATGTATTCACACCGATATGGGAGTATATGGAACTCCTCAACCCTGAAACCACATAGACATCTATCCAAACGGTGGCATGCGAGAACAATCTGGCTGTTCACCGTGGTTGATCCAATGTGAGGCATTTCTCATTCTATTTATATTTATTTTGTATAAGTAAACGATGATTTGTCAACTGATTCAAGTATGCGATTACTATGTTTTTAGATCCCGGAGGCACATCCGAACGCTTTTATGGGTGTAAAGTGCAGTAGTTGGAATGACTTTAAGGCTGGCAATTGCAATAAAACTGATACAATACCTATGAGTTATGCTACACCATGTTCAGCGTTAGTATAACGCTTTCATAGAATTCATTCTTTAGTTTAATGAAGTTCAATGTTTATACTGCTTGGATTTCATCTGAAGAATAATGTACGACGATGTAGATAGATCTTGCAGTTTCTGATTAATTGACATTTTCATCCAATCTTTCATATTCATATTTCTAAATATTGACGAATGATAAAATACACGGCACAATCTATTTTTTAGATTCATATTTTTCAATATTGGTAAATTATTCTGTTTTTCAGGGCAGGTAAATACTACCTCCAAACAAATAATGCATCTCCGTTTGCGAAGGGATCAGCTGGTACTGTCTACCAAAGCTGATTGAAATAAAACATACTTCACTCATACTTTTTATTTTAAATACTTCTTGTAGTTTGATTTATGTAGAAATGTATATTGTGATCTTTTAGACGCAAATAAATGTTGCATGCAGAAAGTATAATAAAATCTTGTCGATTCAATCAATGTACATAACTATATTTGTTGTAGTTTAATCCTTAAAATAAAATGATTATTCAAATTGAACAATCACAGAACGTAATGACTTACGTTTATTCATACACCTTTTAAAACGTAATAACTTTTTTAAAACTGGACTGAGTAGTTTGAATTTTTTTAGATTATAGCGGGATTAGTCTACTAGACAATGATGATATTTTTTAAAATTTTGCTATTACTTGGAATGACAAAGAAAATTAAAAAACTCGTCAGGTCTCAAAGACCCGTTGTAAAAGTGATGAAATCCAGATGCTGGGCCTTGTCGTTGGAGAGTCCTTACAAGCGACAACTTTTTCCGAAATTGTTTTATGAGAGGTTTTCAAGGGTAACGAATTTGCCTCTCCTTCTTTTTAGTAATTCGGAAACTCGTCGACTGGGACGTATATCCTTAACAGTCGAGGCGAGTTCTTCAGAAAGCGTTGAACACGCATCGCCGTGATATTTTCTTTCGTTGGGAATAATTATCGTTGTTATGTCGTTATTGCTATTTTCATTCGTTATTGTTGCTATCGTTTTCTCGTTGTTGTTATATCGTGATTAGTCTATTGCTATTGTTGTTTTGCAAATATATTTATGATTTGTTATACTATATACGCGCACTGTTAGACACTACTTATTATTCATGAACGTTTCATCTCTACAAACGCTTAACGGAAATTTAAAAAATGCGTTTCGTAGATCTCGGTAACTTATATGCATGCTAAAAATTTTATCGAAATCAGTTAACGTTGTTATAAGTTATAACAAATTAAAGATGGTAAAAATCGCAGTTTTATCACAATTTTTACCAAAAACTGGAAGAAATCTGTAGTTTTTTAAATCTTTCAACACCTTTAACTCGATCAAATTTTCAGCACTAAGATTAGATAAGATTAAGGTTTTCAGCACTTAGGCTAAGATAAAAAAGTTAAAAAACGAGAGATTTTTATTTTCTTTTTTGTCATCTGAAGAATATTTAAAAAAGGCGTTTCAGTCATCGTCTGTTAGACTAGTCCCTCTATCATCTAAAAAATATTCAAGTCATTTAGTTGAGTTTTAAAAAAGTTATTACGTTGTAAAAGGTGTACGATCACTTTTGTCGGTAATTGTATATAAAAGTCTGTTAAACGAAATAAGCACCGCACGGGGTCCTGAGGGTCGCACGAAACCGCAAAACACTCGGTGGTTACAATCTCCTGGCATCATAATCCATTCTACAGTTCGATCGCGGTACTGCCGAAGCCCCGAAATCAAAACAAACGCTTCACGTGCTCATATGTTAACCTCCAACAATATTAAATATTATTAACACGATTATTAACACACGTTGATGTAAATACGAACTGTAACTTTTTAGAAAAAGAAGTACGTGTAAGAGCGATTTTCTGTTTCATTTTTTTTTCGACATGAATTTATGGCATAGAGAGAGAAAATTCGTCATATTAAAAGTTATTTGTCTCTGCTGAAAGTTTCGTTGGTTGCTGAGTTCTGGAACCGCGCAGACCAGTTTTGTCACAGGAATGTTTGCTATACGTGCCACAGAAGCAGTAGTAGAAAGCAGCAATGCAATCATGGAGTGTTTGAGTGAAATGCAATAAAGTTGTGAATCATTGACGATGAGAATCTGTACTATGTATATTCAAGATAAGATACGGACAGTAACATTGTAATTACTTATTAACACTAGATCTATGAACTGAGGCAATTTGACTCATTTAAAATATAATAATCATATAATTCTTAAATATTGCTTTTTAAATATATACAGGGTGATCCATTTAATTTGATTCGGTGGGGTACTTCGCGGGGGATTGAAGTTATCAAAAATATGTTCCTACAAAAGTTGTTTGGTATGGAGGAGGATGTTAGATGATATAAACAGATGCAGTGGTGGGGAAGATATCGAAATCAAATTAATACGTTAAGCGCGGCGTCAGTTCCCCGAGGCTGACAGAGTACTTTTCATTTGGGTGGCGTTAGTTCCCAGCGACTGACAGCGTACCTATCGTTTGGACGGCATCAGCGCATGATAACCTTGACATAATGTATTGTTTGGACGGCATCGGCATACGAGACTGGCAGTATCAAGGTTCAAAAATAATGCTAGCCCGTCGCCTCAACAGGAAGCTCAGCAATATCGGCTCCGCACTTAACTTGTTAATATTTTTAAATGGGACTGTATTTTTTTCATCCAAAGTATAACAGCGTTTGTTAAGACGAATACAATGACATAAATGGAATCCATATGCGGCAGATGAATGCAAGTCGCTAGCTAAACTCTACGCGACTGTATCGACTAGCGCTATCAAATGATGCTCTAAAAATGATCGATCATCTTACCTTTTGGTTTCTACACGATTATGCTATCCATTTCTACCAAATCGATTATTTTGTTTCTTATAACAACACGTATATAAATTAATTTTAATTTTCATTTACCACTATTCGATTTGTGGTAGAAAGTATTTATCAATTCATTGTCCTTCAATATGTCCAACATCGTTAAGAGTACATGTTTGCATTCTCTTTAAAAATTCTCTTTCGACACGTTTTAGCACTTTTTCTGTTATTCTTGTTTTATTTTTTTTGCGATTCCTTGACTTATTGTAGACACTTCCCAGATTAACTGTTAGAATAAAAAACTGCGTAATCGAAGTGATATCGTTCGATACGGTTAGCTGATACAGTAACGTAGAGTTCGGCTAGCAATTTGCGTTCATCTGCCGCATATGCATTTCATTTGTCATTTTATTACATGGAATGATACCACGTTGTAGGTCATTGTATTCGACTCAGCAAACGCTATTATATCATGGATACAAAAATACAGGGTCCTATTTAAAAATATTAATTTTACTTCAATATCTCCCTCACCACTACACCTATAGGAATATTGTTTATATCAACTAATAACGTCCCTCTCCATACCAAATAACATTTGTAGGAACATATTTTTGATAACTTCAACCCTCCGCGAAATATCCTAACGAGTCAAGTTAAACAGGCCACCCTGTATGTTGGCTTTTGTTACGTAATACTACTTTTACGTACTTTTGTTTGTAATGAAATACAGTGACTCGCATTAATATTCGGACACGATATTATTAGAAGAATTATTGCTCCTTTTTATTGTTTATGATAGTATTATTGAATCAATTGTTTTCTCATATAATAAAGCACTTCTTAATGTAAATAGAAACATAAATTTTGTCCGGGTGTACCTTCTTCCCAGATTGTACGAACAACTCCTTTGTTAATTTTGTAGCATTTTGTTCAGAATCTTTCTTTATTTTTCTTATCATCTTGCGTTGGTCGCGAGAGTCTAATAATTTTAGACGACCTTTCTGAGGGATTAAATCGATTCAATCCTCACGAATGTATCGACGTACAATATCTAACACACTACTCTTGCTTATATTTAATAATTTGACTATATCTCTGTATGATTTTCCCTTTTCTTTGTGATAAATAGCCAATTGTCGGATTTCAAAAGACGAATTTCTTCCCTTTCGTCCCATTTTCACAAGTAAAGCGTCTAATGTCACCAATACTTTCTGTGGCACCGAGTTCTCACAACGAATTAGATGCTGCGTTTATAAACAATGTGTGCTAGCAACGTCGTCAATGTAGTACAGTATCTTACTTCGGCATCTAAGATGTGTGTCCGAATAATTTTGCGACGTTAAATTTTGTCACAATCTTGTTTATCGCTTATTATACAAAAGAACATGCGCAATAAATAAACAAAATTTATGTTTCTACTCACTATAAGAAGTGCTTTATTATATGAGAAAACAATTCATTCAATAATACTATTATAAACAATAAAAGGGAGCAATAATTTTTCTAATAATATCGTGTCCGAATATTAATGCGAGTCACTGTACATGTAAATATTAATTCCTCCCCTCAGTCGACTTCTTCATTTAGCATTATCGTATGTGGTATACCGATTTTTATGGTTATGAGTCAATTTGACTCATAAAATGATTTAACAATTAGTCGGTTTAAACAAATGAAATTTATGGCTTACATGAAGAAAGTTCTTTTCAGAATTCTAAAAACATCTGATGCGTAAACATTCATGCTCAATTTTGTCAATTTATTAGTTAGTTGGGACTAAAAAAATTCTTATCCACCCACCACCTTCATTATTCCAATTTATATATCATGTATGAACAGAGCATTTTTAGTGAAATAATATAATTCTATAAAATCAATTTTTTTAAACAAAAATTTGGCCCATCAAGGTAATTTCGATATTTATTTGTAAAAGGTATTTCAATTGATATTTATTTTACATATGATTACGTAGGGCTGCTAATATGGGAAAAATCAGAAAAATTTACTTTTGCTAGGAAAACTAATAAAAGTAATGGAAAGCCAATCAGATAATAAATCGGATGCAATGGATATGAAACTATGTCATAACGAAATTGAAATAAAGAAGAAAGCAAATAGGATTCAATTTTCGAGCAGTGACGATAAATATCTTTGTTACATATCTCCTACTAAAAAAAGAGCCAGATTAATTTCTAATTCTGAAATTGAAAGCGGAGATGAGAACGCCTCCATTCCATTGTCGAAAATTCATATTACTGATGTATGGAAGAATGATCAAGTTCACGTATCATGTAATAAAAATAGATGTAAGAACCTTTGTGCTAAATGTAATATAAATGTTTGCGGGAAATGTATTACAAAAAAACAGAGTTTATATGTAAAAAATGTTTTCAATGTACCTTTTAATAACACACACACACACACACAAATCTTTCATTTAAATTAATTTGGAACTACTTTTTGCAAAAAACTTCAATTTTGTTGTATGAGTCAAATTGGCTCACTTCTGTAAAAATAGGTGTAAAATCAACATCCGTAAATTAAACCATACCAAGCCAAGCGCCAACAATGTAATTATAAATCAAATAGACAATAGATAATACTAGAACTGATAAAGGGGATTTTATATACAGTTGCACGTTTGTTGTGACATTCAACTTCCAAAATGACTAACTATCGATTTCCTGCCATTTTTGTCATTAGTTTCTCTGTTCTGAGCAGTGAATTCCCCCAATTGCCCCTCAGCTTGTAAACAAAAATGGATCATTCCATTCCAAAAACATTCCATCAGCTTATAAATAGAAATGATCAATGGACAATAGGAGAAAACTTACTGCACGTCCAAAATATCTTGTTTGATTCCTGGATGTATCACTTACCACTTGTTTCATCTTTTAAAATTGTTTAAAATTGATGGAACACAGTCATATCACAGCATAATCCTTTAACACGAGTCACGAAGTGTCAGTAAAAATCTAATGCGTTGTTGCAAATATCGAGAGCCATTTAAAGGTACTCTGTAATTAATATGACAAGAGATTCGCCATTTAAATACAAAACAATTTCGTATTAGTGATGTAAGTTTACAAACACTTCCGCGTGAAATGTCAATACGTTATAGAGTGTGAGTCTGCAACAGGTGTGCAACAGGTGCGCAAGAGACGATTCCGAAGCCAATACATAAGGTAATTGCATATAAATTATTGCTAATTGATACACCTACTCCAATAAATTGACTAAGCGGACTAGGTGCGCGTTCACTGGACCTACAACTTTCAAAATGACAAGTAATCGATTAATTTTTATTTTTGTGATCAGTTGCTGGGTTCTGAGCAGTAAGTATTTCAAAAATATGTATTTTTAAGAGATGCTGGTTATCACTTTACATTTAATTCAACAACAAAACTGTGTAAAAGTAATCGATTTTTCAGTTGTTCACACCAATTTTATGACAGTAGTTTTCATTCCAAACTAATTTTGAGATTTTTATATTTACGTAATCGTAGTTGTAATTGTTTTAGATTCGACTCGCTACTTTGATACTGAAAGTATTAATAATAATCTGTTTCGTTTGCAGCAACAGGTGCGTCATCAATTCTTCGCACAATAACGCTACGTTTGTATTTCCAGTAATACACATATTTATATTACTTTAGACTTCTTAATAATGGCATGAGTTTATTATGGTTGGACATATTACAAAATTGTAATTAACTCTCTTTTTCCTAGAAATGGCACTTACAAAGAAGTGAATGCTGCAAAAGCGGCACAACTTGTGCCATACTTGAATTTGCAAGAGAACACATTGATACACTGTCATGGTTTCATAGAATCTACAGATTCCCCCCAAGTTGTGGCACTTATAAATGGTACATATGTTTAAAGATTAAGTCATACTATATATTCATTTGGTTTTTAAATTGTACGAACATAAATGCATTCAAAAGTAATTTCGCTGCCGTTCGTAATAGAAAATGTTAACAATCATTAATCTTCGATAAATTCATCTTGAACAATAACCTAGATTTTATTGATGCTATTGCATATTACTTAATATTTGAACGCAGACGATATGGACACTTTACCACTGATATAATATCTACGAAATTGTTGCAGGTTACAAAGCTGGTTCTAATTACAATGTCATAGGTGTAGATTACAGGTATGTCACACATGTAGATTATTTATCGGCAGCTCTCCTTGTCGATAGTGTAGCTACAGTTGTTGTTCGAAGTATAAACGATATGGTCGCGGCTGGAATGAATCGAACTAAACTAATAGCCTCAGGATTTTCTTTGGGTGCTCAAGTCTCCGCTTTCATTGGACGCAAATTAACCTTCGTTCTACCAAAGATAATAGGTATACATTTCCATTGCTCTTGGTTGCTTCAAACTATGTAATGCGAAGAAGTTTAAACTCTAAAGAAAGTAAATTTTTTGTATCGATTCTTGTCTATTGCTATATATGGTTCGATCGTACGTGGTAGATGTAATAATTACTTCTTAAGAAAATTAATTACTTTATTTTTAAATTGCTTGTAATTCAAGTTATGCTTTTTACTGATTATAGTAAATTTTCCCCAATTGTTCTTCAGCTTTTATACAAAAATGGACAATTTGGGAAGAGGAAATACGATTTTTGTTTACAAGCTGAAGAGCAATTGGGGAGAATTTATGTGAATATTCTTCTTTTACAGGAGTAGATCCAGCCGGACCTTTGTTTAATTTTGTCTCCCCCTCGCTATCTGCATCTGATGCGGCTTGTGTAGTATGTATTCATACTGATATGGGTTTCTATGGAACTCCTCAACCCTGCAACCACATAGACTTCTATCCAAACGGTGGCATGAGAGAACATCCTGGTTGTTCACCGTTATATCTTGAATGTAAGGCACTCCTTATTCTATTGATTTATTCTGTATAAGTACACGACGATTTATCAACTGACACAAATATGCTATTACTATGTTTTTAGATCCCGGAGGCTCATGCAGCCATGTCAGGGGTGAGGAATTTATGACAGAAGCAGCAAAAAATCCGAACGCTTTCATCGGTGTAAAGTGCAATAGTTTGAATGACTTTAAAGATGGCAATTATAATTTGACTGATACAATACCTATGGGAGTCACTACACCATGCTCTGCGTTAGTATAGCGCTTTCATAAAATTCATTCTTTCGTTTAATAATGTTCTATGTTTACATTCTTTGCATTTCATTTGAAGAATTATCTACGATGATGTAGATATATTTTGCAGTTTCTGATTAGCTGCCATTTCCATCTGAGCTAGTTCCTTTTCATGTGGCCTAAGTCCATTTATTTTTAAATCCGTTTTAAAAAATTTAAAAATATTGGTCACTGTTAACCTGGTTGTATAATGTTTTTGTGTAAATTCTCTGCAATTATCCCCCAGCTTGTAAATAAAAATGGATAATCATATCTTCTGTTCTCAAATTGTCCATTTTTGTTTACAAGCTGAGGGATAATTGGAAAGAGTTTACTGTATTGCATTCTAGATGCTTTGCTAAAATGAAGTTATATATAACGTATAAATATAAATATAAAAATAGTTAGTTCGATGTTTTTGGAAAATGGACTTAGGCCGCATTCAAAATAAACGGCTCATTGAACATTGTATACTCACATATCTCAATATTGATAAATTATTATGTTTTTCAGGTCGGGTAAATTCTACTTCCAAACAAATAGAGTATCTCCGTTTGCGAAAGGTTCAGATGGTGTTGTGTATCAAAGTTGATTGAAATAAAACATACTTCACTCTTGCTTTTTAGTTTAAACACTTCGTGTAGTTTGATTTATGTAGAGATGTGTACTGCGATCTTGTAGATTCAAATAAACGTTGCATGCAAAAAGTGTAATAAAATCTTATCACTCCCATCAACGTACATTTATTTTGATGTACAAAAATACGTTAAATATTGTTAGCACGTGTATGCATCCAACTCCAAAAGTATTTACAGAAAATTCAATACATATGAAAACCCGATAGGAAACTGTTATAATTTTTGAAATTTATGTCAATGTTAATTATATTAAACTGTAACAAGTACATATACATATTCAATGTTGTAATCAAAATAACGTCAATTTTATAAAAGGAAATTGAATTTTCTTTTCGTCGACATACTCACCGCGTTCTTCATTTATTTTTTGGAGTATAATTTCGGCATTCGTTTTATTAGTTTTTCAATTATTTCCAATACTCTTTGGCTCCATGCATATTCTAGTATGTTCCACGTATTAAGAAAATATGTCGGAATCGTTTTACTACGTTTTCAACGAACAAAATGCAACGAGTGAATAAACTAATTGCATAAGTGACAAACACTTGTATCATTACATGTCTTTTCGATATGAACTTTCTTACTAGCCATATTGCAGACTTATCAGACTTTATCTAAACTGATTAAATAAATCAATACTAATGAATGAATCATGAAAATTTGTACTAAATAAGCAGATGTCCTAATACTTTTGGAGCGGATGTACGTAGATGCAGATTCGATCTGTAACTGTTTAAGATAAGAATCTGTATATGAGACCAACTCTCGACTTTATTTCGATATGAATTCATGGCGCAGAAAATTGGTTATCCGATGCGCATAGTTTCCAAATTTTGTGTTCATATTTTGGGTAACGTAACTGCCATGATATTACATACTATGCAGCGGTATTGAAAATTTTTGTTTGTCGATGAATTCTAGAACCGTATAGGCAAGTTTTGTCGCATCTGTTACGGGCCGAGGGTCAGGCTACTTTGTGTGGCCGATGGTTGGTTGCGATTTTGGAGTTTTGGTAAGGGAATTGCGTGGGGCTAGCCGATGCTTCTTTCATCTCATCGAGTCGTTTCCGTAAAGATAGGTTTTCGTGAACTAGCCGATACTTCTTTCATCGCCAGGTCGTCACTAGGAGGTAGATTGGTAGAAATTAGAGTTTAGGTGCACCGTAACTTTTTCAAAGAAGAAATGAAGATTCGCCTCGTGCGGTAAAGATGTATCTCTGTGGCTTACACCAACTACTGCTTCGAATCAGGAAGTGGAATAATTGAATTTGACAACTTGATAGACTGGTAAAATATAGTACGTTTACAAGAGCTTTCGTTCTAACATAATTGTATGTGTGTGAGTGTAACACAGATTCTAAATCGCGCTCTCAGTCTGTCGCACTGGGTAGACGGGGGCTTATAACCTTGTAACGATGTACGTACTAGGTTGAAACGCTCGAAGGAGAATCAGATTCAATCTTGCTAGCGTTCCTTCGCCAGTAACTGACTTGAAGCTAAGCCCACTTTTTAGTCGTGTTTGGGTTCCTTATATACCCAAAATTTCCATGAAAAGCGATAATGAGGATGTCCATATGTGTCCCGGTTCCAGAAGGTTTGTCATTGTACCCCTTTGAAGGGTACTTGACTCACGATATAAAGAGCGAACCAACCGGCCGGCGCCAGACCGGCGTTCGCTTCTAGGAAGGAGTAAGAAAAAATACGTCGGGAAATTCTCCGCACGTTACACAGCATAGTTCTCTACACACGTCGTAGAAATATCAGTAAAAATCTAACGAGTCGTTGTCATTTTCTAGTGATCTTTAAAAGTATTTTATTAACGTAAAATAAATACTGTCTCAATGATAACAGTTTCAGCATTTAAACACCAAATAGTTTCGCAGCGGCATAAAATTCCGCGCGAAATGTCATTTCGTCACACAGTGACTATAAAACAGGTGTGCAGCAGATAATTTTGAAGCCGATAAATAATGGAATTGCTTATAGATAGTTGTTAAATGAATAGTTGAGATGGTACACTCCAAACCTCGAAAAAATCCTCGAAAACCCTCGAAATCCAAAAAGTTTCGAGTTCTCGAAACTTTGTGTCATTTTCCCAGTTAAATGATAATTTGTATAAACAATCTACGAGAATATTATAACGACGTGAATACATTTTTATTTGACCAATAATAATCCAATTGAGTTTGTGTTCAGACTTAAGATACATTTTAATTGGATTATCAATCGACATTGGACATCAATCGATTACAATCATTTAATTCAATCAATTAATTAAATTATTAGTACATTAAATTTCGTCACTTAAACATATTGTATTAAAGAATTTGTCAAGTGTTTAGTTCCTGATAAAATAGATATTCCGTCGAAAAAAGGAAAAGTATCAGCATTTCTAGTTTCGAGTGTTACGAGTTCCAAGAGTTTCAAGACAAGACAAAGTTTAGGATTCAAGTATCACGAATTTAAAAACATCCGATTTCGATCCATGCCAACTGCAGCACGTGTCAGAGAAGTGGCATTGATCATATATACTCTATGCGTTTAAGATAAGATATGCATGTTAACATTCTAATTTCTATTAAAAGCATACTAGTACCAAATAGCGAAAAAGTTTCATTAATTCAAGAAGTAAAGTTATAGAATAAAGAGGCAAAACAGATAATGTTGAAACTGATAAGTGAGTCTTTATATACCGACTCCCAAGAGACTAGATACACAGTCACAATCACATTGTCACAGTCTCATAAAGCTTCCAAAATGATGTACTATCGATTTCTTGCCATTTTCGTCACTAGTTGCTGGTTTCTAAGCAGTAAGTACTTAAAAATTATTTGTTTGAAGAGAGAAATACTTTATCACTTTCCATTTAATTCAGGAACAAAGCTGTTTAAAAGTAATCGAATTTTCGGCTGTTCTCGCCAATTCTATAGCATAATTTTTCATCGCATACGAATCTTGAGATTTTTGTATCATAGTTGTAATTGTTTTAGATTTGACTCGCTACTTTGATACTTCTAAATAATAATCTGTTTTGTTTGCAGCTACAGTTTCGTCAACAATTCTTCGCACAATAACGATGCGTTTGTATTACGAGTAATATACATATTTTTATTATTTTAGACTTCTTAATGATGGCATGAGTTTATTATGGTTGGATAATTATAAAGTTGTAATAAACTCTCTTTTCCCCAGAAATGGCACTTATAAAGAAGTGAATGCTGCAGCAGCGGCACAACTTGTGCAATACTTGAATTTGCAAGAGAACACATTGATACACATTCATGGTTACTTAGAATCTACAGATTCCCCCCAAGTTGTGGCACTTATAAATGGTACATATGTTTAAAGACTAAGTCATACTATATATTCATTTGGTTTTTCAATTGTACGAACATAAATGCATTCAAAAGTAGGTTCGCTGCCATTCGTAATAGCAAATTTTAGCAATCATTAATTTTGGGTAAACTCACACATCTTGTACAATATACTAGACTATATTAAGATAATTCCAGATTAATTAATATTTTAACGTAGACGATATGAATATCATACCACTGTTATAATATCCATGGAATTGTTGCAGGTTACAATGCTGGTTCTAATTACAACGTCATAGCAGTAGATTACAGCTATGTTACACATTTAGATTATGTTACGGCAACTGCTCTTGTTGATGATGTGGCTACAGTTATTGTTCAAAGTATAAATGATATGGTCGCTGCTGGAATGGATCGAACTAAACTAATAGTCTCAGGATTTTCTTTGGGTGCTCAAGTCTCCGCTTTCGTTGGACGCAAATTACCCTTCGTCCTACAACAGATAATAGGTATACATTTCCATAGCTCTTGGTTACTTCAAACTATGTAATAGAACTACTACGGAGAGGTTTAAACTCTAAAGAAAGTAAATTTTATTATGAATAATAATCAATAAATGTTTATTGCTATAGATGGTCCGGTTGTTCATGATAGATTCAATAATTACTTTTTAGGGAAGTTAATTTTTTTATTAAAAAATTGTATGTCTGTCAAGTGGATAATATTGTCATTAATTCATTAAATCATTTTCGCGGCAAAAGAATATTGTAAGTTGTCCAATGGTTACAATAGGTACAATATACAGGGTGTCCCAAAGGTATGGTACTTTTTGGAAATGAGGGGTTTCTGAGGTCATTTGAAGTAACTTTTTCCTTAGCGAAAATGCAATCCGCATTATTATTTACGAGTTATTAAGAAAAAACAGTGACCAATGAGAGGCGAGAACAGCTGACGCGAAGCGGAACGGAACTGGGTTTCGTCCGCTCGTTGGCACGGCCGAGCTGGTCTCTGATTGGTCACTGTGTTTCGTTAATAATTCGTAAATAAAGTTGCGGATTGCATTTTCCCTAAGGAAAAAGTTGCTTCAAATTATCTCAGGAACCCCCTCATTGCCGGGAAATGCCATAATTTTGGGACACCCTGTATAATTTTGGACAAGAAATTCGTTTGAACAAAAGTCAGCTAATTTTCCAGGATAAATTTTGTCATAGTTATCCTTTTCTCTGATTACAGAGCATTGTACTTTAATATGAATCTCCTTCCTGCACAGGTCTGGATCCAGCCGGACCTTTGTTTAATATTACCTCCCCCTCGCTATCTGCATCTGATGCAGCTTGTGTAATATGTATTCACACCGATATGGGCTTCTATGGAACAACTCAACCCTGCAACCACATAGACTTCTATCCAAACGGTGGCACTAGAGAACAACCTGGTTGTTCACTGTTGATGATTGAATGTATGCCATTTCTTATTTTACTTACTTATTATGTATAAGTACACGACGATTTATCAACTGACACAAATATGCGATTACTATGTTTTTAGATCCCGGAGGCTCATGCAGTCATTTCAGGGCTGAGGAATTTATGACAGAAGCAGCAAACAATCCGAACACTTTCATCGGTGTACAGTGCAATAGTTGGGTCGACTTTAAGGCTGGCAATTGCAATCAGACTAATAAAATACCTATGGGTCTCTTTACACCATGCTCTGCGTTAGTATAACCCTCTCATAGAATTCATTCTTTGGTTTAATAAAGTTCAATGTTTATACTGCTTGGATTTCATCTGAAGAGTAATGTACAATAATGTGATTAGATTTTGTAGTTTCTGATTAACTGTCATTTCCATTTAATCTTTCATGTTCATATTTCTAAGTATTGATAAATGATAAAAAGAGGTACATTCTATCTGTTAGATTCATATTATTCAGTATTGATAAATTATTCTGTTTTTTTTTTTAGGGCAGGTAAATACTACCTCCAAACAAATAGTGCATCACCATTTGCGAAGGGATCAAGTGGTACTGTCTACCAAAGCTGATTGAAATAAAACACACTACACTTTTGCTTTTTAGTTTAAATACTTCTTGTAGTTTGATTTATATGAAACAGTATATTGTGATCTTGTGGACGCAAACAGTGTATGGTCCACGCAAAAAGTGTATTAAAATTTTATCACTTGTATCAATGTATATTTATTTTGATGTACAAAAATACATTAAATATTGTTAGTACGTGTATACTCCCCGTTCCGAAAGAAATAGGATACTTATAGAAAATTCAATAAATATGAAAACCCAATAGCAAACTGTTATAATTTTCGAAATTTCTTGCAACGTTAATTATATTAAGCTGTAACAAGTACATATACATATTTTACGTTGTAATAAAAAGAACGTCAATATTATAAAAGGAAATTGAATTTTTTTTCGTCGTCGTTATCCACCGCGTTCTTTAATTATTTCTTGGAGTAATTTCAGCATTCGTTTTATTATATTGTTATATTGTAGTATGTTCCACGTATTAAGAAAACATGTCGGGATCGTTTTAGTACGTTTTCAACGAACAAAATGCAACGAGTGAATAAACTAATTGCATAAGTGATTAACACTTATAACATTACATGTCCTTTCGATATGTGCTTTCTTATTTACCATATTGCAGACTGGCAGAGATTACCTAAATTGAATGAAACACTAAAATTTGTACTAAATATCCAGGTATATTAATACTTTTGGTCTAGGTATACGTAGGTGCAGATTCGACTCGTAACTAACACCCCCGACATTGACATAACATTGACCTGTATGTGAGACTGACTCTCGACTTTGTTTCGATATGAATTTATGGCTCGTTTCGTTGGCAGGCTCACGATGCCGCCAACGGCAACGTTCACTTTCACCTTCTCGAGGCTTGCTTCCTCTACTTCTAACGTCTGTGCGGAACACGTCCTCCAGGCTCTGCTGTCGCCGCAATCCACCACTCCCTCGTGATAAAAATTATAATGCGATTTTCTCACATATCGAATTGTTTGTATTTTCGGAGACTCTTCCCTTAATCTTCTCACTATTTCGTTCGAATTTCCGTCACACTCCACGAAAACCGAAAAAATGCGATACCGTTCCAACGAGGAATACATTGCGACGTTCACTCGAGGAAAACTGAAGAACAACTAAAAATTCCAATCATGCTCCTGGCAACCTAGTTCAAGAATTTTACGATTTTTTACCTGGAGATGTGTATACCGTGCCGCGAAATTAACCATGCTTGTAGGGGGGTATTAGGGGGCCTAGGTTGTCAATGTAGGTCGACACCCTGTATAATACTTGCCTTTGCTTTCTGATGCATTTGCCTGTTATATCGCAGCATTTCTAACATTGAGTTATTCAAAGTACACACACACACACACACGGCAATACATATAGATATGAATGGATTATCCAGTTTGTAACGCCGATGTTCGTGCTGTAACGGACGATGAAATGATTTTGACTCGCGCTGGTTCCGAAAGTAACAAAAATATTTATTATTTAACTCTTAAACCTAGTGTACAAAACTAAGAAACGCAAAGAGAACTCCATTGATACAATATCAACGCAACAATGCTAACCCACGCGGATTTCCCCGGCGGAAGGACTGCCTGACGACTCGTCAGCCCCCTTTTTGCCCGACGCGAAACTATGCCTCTCAAGACTCTGACTGCTCGCTGGCTGCTCCATGTACCCCGTGATACTCGGAGGAGCTGCGGGAATCGCGATCTATAATACAATGCAAGACCAACGTGTGTCACGCGTAGCTCAGAGAATGGAGGAGAGGAAAGATGGGGTTATATATTTGCTGCTCGGAAAGTTGTTCGTCCAGAAATGGTCACGTTGTTTTGCAATATAATAATAATTATAATATTAATATGTAATATATATTATATTATATATTATATTATATTAATATATAATAATTATAATATTAATATGTAATATATATTATATTATATATTATATTATATTAATATATAATAATTATAATATTAATATGTAATATATATTATATTATATATTATATTATATTAATATATAATAATAATAATATTATAATAGTAATTATATCGGACCTCTCTCCTTGCTCTTCCTACGCCTCCTCCGCACCGTTCAGCCCGATGCGACCACACCGGAAGGACCCGTGAGTCGGTGCGCGGGCAAAGCTCCCACCAGATAGACCTAGCTGACAGGAGGGTTCTCGGTACGATCTCACGCATAACCCGACATGATGGACCATAGCGTTCCGTCCCAGAAGTACCTGGGGCTAGCACAGCCGACAATACTGCCCCAGATGTATCTGGTGGACAGGAGGGTGCCTCGCACGCGCCGATCTTGATCCGAGGCAGCAAACTCGATCGGCCACGTGGGGCGGGTTGGCCACGCCGCTCACTCGCCTTACGTCTGGTGCGCTCAATCGTACGATTTTGGCGTACGTGACTTTCTTTGTTTCGCTCGCGATTCCCTTTTCCCCGCAGTGTGTCTTACCATCTCGTAGCGAAATTCATCGTTGCAAATTGAAGGTATTAAACACTTGTTATTTTGATTGTGAAATGATTTATTCATCGTTTATTCATTATTAATAATCGTTTATTCAGTTTTATTGTCTCGAAGTTACACGTCCATTGAGAATCTAATACACAGTTTCGTTCGACCCGAGTTTCGTTCTCTCTCTCTCTCTCTCTCTCTCTCTCTCTCTCTCTCTCTCTCTAACGCGGTGTCGATAACTATAAAGACGAGCCGCGAGGTTCGAAGAATCATGCCTTGCGATTCTCACATCCGCATGTTTCGATTCCGACTAAAAACATCTATGGGAGAAATTATTGTATATACTCGGTTGACAAGAAAGTAATTTTGGTTTGCGTTATGTTTGCATTGTCATTCTTTTGTTATGGTTATGATTTTTTTGTCTTCAGCTTTGGTAGTTGTCATGTTTAGGTTACTATAGAAACAATTTCCGTGTAGTTTTGTTTAAAATTGATAGTTCGCTGTCAAGTTTAACATGGAGTGCAAAAATGAACATTTTCGACATATTTTACTTTTTTATTTTCATAAAGGCAAGAAAGCGGCCAAGGCTCACAAAGAGATGTGTGAAGTTTATGACGTCGATTGCTTAACAGAACGCACGTGTCAGAATTAGTACAAAAAATTTCGTTCTGAAGATTTTTCACTTAAAGGTGACCGACGTTCTGGTCGATCTTCTGAAGTTGATGATGACAAAATCAAAGCTATAATTGTATGGAATTGTCATATAACTGTACGGGAGATTGCAAAATGGTTAAATGTATCACACACAACAATTGGATATCACATAAGATGTCTTGGACTTGTTAAGAAGTTCGATGTTTGGATTTCGCACGAATTTAAAAAAATTCACTTAACACAATGAATCAGTATTTGCGATATGCATTTTAAACGTAATGCAATCGATCCTTTTTTGAAACGAATTACCACTGGCGATGAAAAATGAATCGTTTGCAATAATATTGTTGCGAATTACACCATTTCTCTCGCGTCGCGGCATTTTATTTACAATAAGAATATTAACTATAACACAATTCGATACAAATACAATTCAGATCTTTCAGAAGTGGGATGTTGATCGTTCGACTCCTCCGTGGCAACCCCTATCTTCTATTATTCTTTAAGGAGTTGTTCACAACAGGGTAGTTTCACATTACAGCGACTCGATTTGGACAAGTCGCCGTAACAATATTAATCGGAAAAGATCTGGTCTAAGCATGATGAATCAGCACAAATCATATCGAAAGCTGAATTGCATCAGGAAAAGATCATGTTGCCAATTTGGTGAGACTATGAAGGTGTATATTTTGAGCTGCTTCCAAGCAACCAAACGATCAACTCAGATGTTTACTGCCAACAACTTATAAAATCGGAGGAAACAATCAAAGTGAAAAGGCCAGAATTGGCAAATCGCAAAGGAATCGTGTTCCACCGCGACAATGCGAGGCCTCGTACATCTTTAGCAACACGCACAAAATTATTGACATTGATTGACATGTAGCCCCGACCTTGCACCAACGGATTATTATTTATTTCGAAGTTTACAAAACTTTTTAAATGGTAAAAATTTCAATAATAACGATAGTTTAGTTTTTTACTGATAAGGACCAAAAGTTTTATGAGCGCGGAACCATGAAGTTATCAGAAAGATGGCAAAAGGTCATCGAACAGAATGGAAAATATTATATATTTGACTGATTAAAGTACATTTCTTGTATAGAAAAAATTAAGTTTTATTTCACATTGAAATATCGAAATTACTTTCCTGCGAACCCAATACGTTTGATTATCTTCAATCTAACTTTCCTCGAAAGTGGTAAAACATGTCTTGGGATTTCTATGGAAAACTATTCCTTGAACAGTCCTCGACATTATTATACAAAATTTTCTTGCAGTGGCCAGCATTTCTAATTGTAATCATGGTTTTTAAAAGCGCGTCCCAGGACAAATCGGGACATTTTTGAGATTTGGGTTTGTTTGTCACCTAATAACAAAAAAGAGGATATGTTTCTCGTTTAATTCAGAACACATACCATTTAAACGATTGCATAGAAGAGGTTTAGAAAGGTTTGGAACCTTTTATGTCTGGATATTAACAATAGATTAAAGCACATCTGATAAGCTTTGAGATTGAACGCTTGTAAATATCTTATGAAAAATATGCTAATGATGTCTAATTTTTGTAAATATTTTCGTATATAATTTCTTATTATTTATTAACCTGTTACATTGAAATATTTGTTACTTGTTTATGTATTATGTTCAAATATGTTATGTTTAAATACGTTTACGTATGTACTGTATTAGAATGTTACCTGTTTAATTACATATATGTTACATATTTGTTTTTGTATTGTGTTGGAATATGTATTACACATTTGTATATAGTGTGTTTTTATTACATAACACACACACACAGATTTTTACATATCGTGTCTACATACAGTACATTCTCTCAAATTGTCTATTTTTGTTTATAAGCTGAAAGATATTTGATGAGAATTTACTTTACCACGCATTTTTTTGTGGTCTTGTGTTACTATTATTATCACTTACACTTTCTAGTAAATTTGTTAGTCAAAATATCTTTACCGATTGATGCTTTAACAACGACTGCTAGAATCGGACTGCATCTCGTGAAAAATATTCGAAAGACTTGATTGATAAAAATATAAAGGCGGGTAAATAATAAACGTCTAATAATGCGCGTAATAGATAACAAAACAATAACAACAGATAACTAAACAACAATATAACAATAACTAACAACAACAATAAAGATTCTAAATGACTAGAAAATATTGCTTATGTAAAATTTTTTGTTACGATCTGAACTGTTCGACTGTTCAACGTTTACGCCCCATCTAACAAAGGATGTACAGTCGTCCCAGTCGACGACTTTCCGAAGCAACCAGTCCCAGTCGTCACTTTTACGACCGGTCCTTAAGACCCGGCCGTTTACGGCACATATTCGGGAAAGCTAGAATTTCCACGTCCGAAAATTCCTTCCCACCCCCACGTTGTGTGGATCCGCTACAAAAGATTTTTTTATTCAACAGAGAAACAAAATCGTTGCAATTTTTGTTAACGTAACAGTATATTATTTATGCATAAATCGATTCATCTTTGTATGTATTCCCTTTAAAAAATTATTAACGTACTTGGATCGAAAATTAATTAGTTTAAAAGTTATGATTTTTATCCCGGACGCCCATAAGATCGCATACTGCAGGGATCCTAATCCTAACCCGAACCTGTTCCTTCTCTCAGTTTCGTAGAATAACCCGTATAACCGGGTTAACCAATGCGTAGAAGTTTGATTAACTCGGTTAATCTGCTCTTATGGCGGGTTAATGAATTTATGAGGTTAATAAAACCTTTAACGTGCAAGCGTACATTTGTGATATTAATATTGATTTGCTTTGCGAAAAATAGCATTCCACTACCATTGAAAAAAATAACATTTATCATTAATAATATCTAAGAGTATTATCACAAGACAATATATTGAATTTTATTAGAATATGATTCATTAGAGAATTTGTTTATATCTGTATACAATTGGTTAATAAAAATATAACTTTTTTAAAATTTGTTTTAGTTCAAAGTGTTTATTGCTTTATGTTTACGATATTATAAGGTTAAGCAACCTAATTTATTAATTTATTTAATGTGATAGATAATGGCAAAGAATATAACATGCTATTTTTCGCAGCAAGGAGCAAAACGTGTTATTTTTCGCGGCTATAAAAATAATTCGTGTTAGTCTTCGCGGAAAACCATTAAAATGTACTAGTTTTAGTAGCGACGAGCACAATATGTTAGACATACAAAAAATGCAACTAGATATTCAATGCAAAAGTCAAAATGTATAGTATTGGCCGGGCGGCAATACATGGCATGGCACGAGAGCAGCGCGCCTAATGTGAATACTATAATGTAAACCAAATGACAGAACGTCTTGGCTTTGCAACTCGACCAAGCTTGGCATCTAAATGTGTTTTGACCATTGCGGTTAGGGTTAGGCAACGGTTAGGATCCCTGCATCACTGTGCGCCGTGCGGCTACTTAATACGTCGCGTTACTATTTTTTATTCGATTCAGTATTTACAAATCGTATCTTTTACCTTGTTAAAACGTTTACACTATGCAGATACCAAGTCTTTCGAATATTTTTCACGAGAAGTAGTCTGATTGTAGCAGTCGTCGTTAAGACATCAATCAGTAAAGATATTTTGTCTAATAGAAATTTATTGGAAAGTATAGGTGATAGTAGTAACACAAGACCATAAAAATTGCGTGATACAATAAATGTTCTCCAATTGTCCCTGAGTTTGGAAACAAAAATGAACAATTTGGAAAGAAGAGAAGCAATTATTCGAGCCTTGCGGTTCGTTTTTATAGTTGTTGACAATCGGCAACTACAAAAATATGGAAGAAAACAGACACTGTATATTTTTGTCCATATTGTGACGTAGGATTTTGTTTAGAAACATGTTACAAAGTTTATCACACGATATTAAATTATCAAGGCGAGAAACTAGTATTCTTTTTATTAGGAATTGTGTAATTTCATTAATTAAATATAGCTATCACAGATATGTAAAAGTTTCAATAATTAATAATAATATGAAAAAATTCAGAATATATATTTGACGCAAAATACCGTCGGCCGCACGGTAAGAAATTAGGAAATGTACGTCGTCCTTGAAGGGTCAACTTAAAATAAACACTGTCTCAATGATAACAGTCTCACCATTTAAAACAAAATATTGTAGTTTCGTATCGGTGAATATAGAGGAAAAATGGAAATAAAATTTATTCAAGGCTGCATGAATAGTGCTGAAATAGAGACTTACGCTCGCAGAATTTCTGGGACAAAATAAATACTTCAACAAGATAATGCAATTGTGCATACAGCTTGCATAGTAAAAAATTATTTTGAAACTAAAAGTGTATAGATTTTAAATTGGTCAGCAAGGGCTCCTGACCGAAGTATTATCGAGAATGTTTGGGGAAATCTCAACCGAACATTATTGTGTGAATAGCAGTATAATACAGTGACTGAATTAAAATCTGCAATTTCAGAAGTTTGGGAAGCTTGGATCAAGAGTATATAAAATATTTGTATATATGTTTACCAAGAAGAATGACTGAAGTGGTACAACGCAAAGAACAGTCCATACGATACTAAAACATAAACAAACTATGCAATTTCATGTCATTTTAATGCTTTTGTTATTTCATATTCACAATGCCTTATGACTTTGGCGACACAAAATTTCATGTTTTTTGGAATAAATAACAAATGGGTCGATCGATTTATTTAATTTCTCAGATATTGTGTTAAAACTAGTATCTTATTTTATTGAGTATTCATATTCCACGTAAATATACAAATAGATGTTCATACCCAAAAATCTTGAGGTACCTTATTATTTTGTACATCAGTGTATGTATTTAAGATAAGATATGCACAGTAATACTGTAATTACTTCCAAAAGCGTACTAGTACCATGTACCGAGAAAGTTTCATTATTTCAAAAAAGAAAGTTATAGAATAAAGAGGCAACAGATAATGTTGAAACTGATAAGTGAGACTTTATATACCGACTTCCAACAGACTAGATACACAGTCTCACATTCGTTGTGACATTAAATTTCCAAAATGACAAACTATCGACTTCTTGCCATTTACCTCACTAGTTGCTGGTTTCTGAGCAGTAAGTACTTAAAAAATGTTTTGTTTGAAAAGAGAAATACTTTATTACTTCCCAATTAATTGAGGAACAAAGCTGTTTAAAAGTAATTGAATTCGGCTATTCTCGCCAATTCTACGGCATAAATTTTCATCGCATACGAATCTTGAGATTTTTGTATCATAGTTGTAATTGTTTTAGATTTTACTCGCTACTTTGATACTTTTAAATAATAATCTGTTTCGTTTGCAGCTACAGTTTCATCAACAATTCTTCGCACAATAACGCTGCGTTTGTATTTCCAGTAATACACATATTTATATTACTTTAGACTTCTTAATGATGGCATGAGTTTATTATGGTTGGACAATTATAAAATTGTAATAAACTCTCTTTTCCCCAGAAATGACACTTATAAAGAAGTGAATGCTGCAGCAGCGGCACAACTTGTGCAATACTTGAATTTGCAAGAGAACACATTGATACATATTCATGGTTACTTACAATCTACAGATATGCCCCAAGTTGTGGCACTTATAAATGGTACATATGTTTAAAGATTAAGTCATACTATATATTCTTTTGGTTTTTAAATTGTACGAACATAAATGCATTCAAAAGTAATTTCGCTGCCGTTCGTAATAGAAAATGTTAACAATCATTAATCTTCGATAAATTCATCTTGAACAATAACCTAGACTTTATTGATGCTATTGCATATTACTTAATATTTGAACGCAGACGATATGGACACTTTACCACTGATATAATATCTACGAAATTGTTGCAGGTTACAAAGCTGGTTCTAATTACAATGTCATAGGTGTAGATTACAGGTATGTCACACATGTAGATTATTTATTGGCAGTTCTTCTTGTCGATGGTGTGGCTACAGTTGTTGTTCGAAGTATAAACGATATGGTCGCTGCTGGAATGGATCGAACTAAACTAATAGTCTCAGGATTTTCTTTGGGTGCTCAAGTCTCCGCTTTCATTGGACGCAAATTACCCTTCGTCCTACCAAAGATAATAGGTATATATAATATATGATATAAGATAATAGGATAAGTAATTCGTTCGTGCGAAAGTCTACTAATTCTCCGTGCAAAATTTTTACATAGCTATCCATTTTTCTGATCACTGAGCATGACACTTTAACATGAACCTCCTTCTTTTACAGGTGCGGAGCCAGCCGGACCGTTGTTTAATATTACCTCCCCCTCGCTAACTGCTTCTGATGCGGCTTGTGTAATATGTATTCACACCGATATGGGCTTCTATGGAACAACTCAACCCTGCAACCACATAGACTTCTATCCAAACGGTGGCAAAGAACAACAACCTGGTTGTTCATTAATTACGTTTGGAGGTATGGCACTCCTCATCTCACTTATTTATTTTGTATAAATACACAATGATTTGTTAAATGACGGAAATATGCGATTATTATGTTTTTAGCTCTACTAAACGTATGCAGCCATGGCAGGGTCCAAAAGTATATGGCAGAAGCTGCTAGGTACCCGAACGCTTTCATGGGTATAAAGTGCAATAGTTGGGACGACTTTAAGGCTGGCAATTGCAATCAGAATGATACAATACCTATGGGATTCTTTACACCATGCTCTGCGTTAGTATAACGCTTCATCTTTATATTCATATCTATATTCATATTTCTAAGTATAAATGAATTATTGTGTTTTTCAGGCGGGGTAATTACTACCTCACCACAAATAGTGCATCTCCGTATGGGAGGGGTTTAGCTGGAACAGTCTACAAAAGCTGATCGAAATACAACATACTTCACGCGTCTCTTGCTTCTTACTTCAAACATATCTTGTTGTTTGATTTATGTAGAAATGTGTAATGTAATCTTCTAAGTTCAAATAAATGGTGTATGCAAAACGTATAATAAAGTCTTGTCAATTCGAGTGATATACATTTATTTTGATGTACAAGGATACATTAATTATTGTTAGTACGCATATATGTAGATATAGTTTCGAACCGTAACTTTTGAGATTATTGGCTGTGTGTGAGAGCGATTCTCGATTTCGTTTTGTGGTGTATTTATGACACAGAAAATTGGTGAGCTGTTCGTCCAATTTTTGTGTTTAGTTTCAAAATTTGTTAACTGCCCTACTACNCTCTACTAAACGTATGCAGCCATGGCAGGGTCCAAAAGTATATGGCAGAAGCTGCTAGGTACCCGAACGCTTTCATGGGTATAAAGTGCAATAGTTGGGACGACTTTAAGGCTGGCAATTGCAATCAGAATGATACAATACCTATGGGATTCTTTACACCATGCTCTGCGTTAGTATAACGCTTCATCTTTATATTCATATCTATATTCATATTTCTAAGTATAAATGAATTATTGTGTTTTTCAGGCGGGGTAATTACTACCTCACCACAAATAGTGCATCTCCGTATGGGAGGGGTTTAGCTGGAACAGTCTACAAAAGCTGATCGAAATACAACATACTTCACGCGTCTCTTGCTTCTTACTTCAAACATATCTTGTTGTTTGATTTATGTAGAAATGTGTAATGTAATCTTCTAAGTTCAAATAAATGGTGTATGCAAAACGTATAATAAAGTCTTGTCAATTCGAGTGATATACATTTATTTTGATGTACAAGGATACATTAATTATTGTTAGTACGCATATATGTAGATATAGTTTCGAACCGTAACTTTTGAGATTATTGGCTGTGTGTGAGAGCGATTCTCGATTTCGTTTTGTGGTGTATTTATGACACAGAAAATTGGTGAGCTGTTCGTCCAATTTTTGTGTTTAGTTTCAAAATTTGTTAACTGCCCTACTACACTGACCTTGACATAACCTGCAGGCGTACAAAGAAATTAACAAATGCGTTTTATTACAATCTAGTTACACAGATAAATCAAAGGAATAAATTATAGTAACCCGTAGGTAATCAAATAAATTAACAAAACCAATTTATAGTAATCTACCAACACAAGTAAATGCATCGATTACATGCATCGACTACATACTACTGTCTCTTGCTCAGAAAAGGTCAGCCAAAGGGGCAAGGAAGGTATTCCGCTACGTCCACCTGACCTGCACTGCCCGTAGTTACCACTTTTCTATGACCTGTAACGTACGGAGAATTTTTCCGACGTGTTTTTTCTTACTCCTTTCTAAAGGCACCAGGCTGGCGCCAACCTGCGGGCTTCGTTCTATCTATTGTGAGTCAAGTACCTTCGAAGAGGTGCGAAGGCGTACTTTCTGGAACCGGCGTACATATGGATAGCCTCACTATCGTTTTCATGGAAATTTTGGGTATACATATAAAGAACCCAAACGCGACTAAAAAGCGGGCTTAGTTTCAAGTCAGCTACTGACGAAGGAATGCTAGCGAGATTGAGTGTGATTCTCTTTCGACCATTTCAACCGAGTACGAACATCGTTACAAGGTTATAATCCCCCGCCTACCCAGCGCGACAAACTGGGACCGCGATTTAGAATCCGTGATACACTCGCACACAACCAATTGTATTAGACTAAAAGCTTGTAATATACTATCTTTAATCAGTCTATCAAGTTATCAAATTCAATTATTTCATTTCCTGATTCGAAGCAGTAGTTGGTACAAACCCATAGAGATATATCTTTATCGCTCGAGGTGTATCTTTATTTCTTTTTAAAACTTACGAGGCAGCCAAACTCTAAATCTCTATCCTACCATAGCTAGTGACGTCCCCATGATGAAATAGACATCGGCTAGTTCACGAAAACCTATCTTATACATATAGTGGCGCCCCCCGATAATGAGATAGACACTGGCTGAGATAGACATCCACGCAATTCCCTTACCAAAAACTCCAAAATCACGACCAACCTCCGGCCACGCAAAGCTGCGTGGTCCTCGGCTTGTAACAGACCTCACGAAACCCACTTCTATTGATAAACGTGTAACGTACGGAGAATCTTCCCACGAATTTTTTATATTCCTTTCTGAAGGCACACGCCAGGCTGGTACCAGCCACATATGAACACCCCCACTACCATTTTTCCAGAGAAAATCTGGCTATATAAAGGCCTAAACGCGACTGGGAATCGGGCTAGTTTCGAGTCATTCGTCGACGTGTAAACGCTAGTGAGATCCAGTCTCAATTCTCCTTCGAGCAATCTAATAGGTAATAAGACATTAAGTCAAAAGCCCCCGCCGATTCAGTGCGAAAAGCTGAGAGCGCGTTAAAGTCCGCGAACACCTGTCTCTTATACACATCTAGATGTGTATAAGAGACAGAGCCACCCGTGTAGAAATAAACATCGGGTGGTCTACGCACCTCATCCTAACCTTAAAGGTAGCCACCCGTGTCGAAATAAACATCGGGTGGTCTACGCACCTCATCCTAACCTTAAAGGTAGCCACCCGTGTCGAAATAAACATCGGGTGGTCTACGCACCTCATCCTAACCTTAAAGGTAGCCACCCGTGTCGAAATAAACATCGGGTGGTCTACGCACCTCATCCTAACCTTAAAGGTAGCCACCCGTGTCGAAATAAACATCGGGTGGTCTACGCACCTCATCCTAACCTTAAAGGTAGCCACCCGTGTCGAAATAAACATCGGGTGGTCTACGCACCTCATCCTAACCTTAAAGGTAGCCACCCGTGTCGAAATAAACATCGGGTGGTCTACGCACCTCATCCTAACCTTAAAGGTAGCCACCCGTGTCGAAATAAACATCGGGTGGTCTACGCACCTCATCCTAACCTTAAAGGTAGCCACCCGTGTCGAAATAAACATCGGGTGGTCTACGCACCTCATCCTAACCTTAAAGGTAGCCACCCGTGTCGAAATAAACATCGGGTGGTCTACGCACCTCATCCTAACCTTAAAGGTAGCCACCCGTGTCGAAATAAACATCGGGTGGTCTACGCACCTCATCCTAACCTTAAAGGTAGCCACCCGTGTCGAAATAAACATCGGGTGGTCTACGCACCTCATCCTAACCTTAAAGGTAGCCACCCGTGTCGAAATAAACATCGGGTGGTCTACGCACCTCATCCTAACCTTAAAGGTAGCCACCCGTGTCGAAATAAACATCGGGTGGTCTACGCACCTCATCCTAACCTTAAAGGTAGCCACCCGTGTCGAAATAAACATCGGGTGGTCTACGCACCTCATCCTAACCTTAAAGGTAGCCACCCGTGTCGAAATAAACATCGGGTGGTCTACGCACCTCATCCTAACCTTAAAGGTAGCCACCCGTGTCGAAATAAACATCGGGTGGTCTACGCACCTCATCCTAACCTTAAAGGTAGCCACCCGTGTCGAAATAAACATCGGGTGGTCTACGCACCTCATCCTAACCTTAAAGGTAGCCACCCGTGTCGAAATAAACATCGGGTGGTCTACGCACCTCATCCTAACCTTAAAGGTAGCCACCCGTGTCGAAATAAACATCGGGTGGTCTACGCACCTCATCCTAACCTTAAAGGTAGCCACCCGTGTCGAAATAAACATCGGGTGGTCTACGCACCTCATCCTAACCTTAAAGGTAGCCACCCGTGTCGAAATAAACATCGGGTGGTCTACGCACCTCATCCTAACCTTAAAGGTAGCCACCCGTGTCGAAATAAACATCGGGTGGTCTACGCACCTCATCCTAACCTTAAAGGTAGCCACCCGTGTCGAAATAAACATCGGGTGGTCTACGCACCTCATCCTAACCTTAAAGGTAGCCACCCGTGTCGAAATAAACATCGGGTGGTCTACGCACCTCATCCTAACCTTAAAGGTAGCCACCCGTGTCGAAATAAACATCGGCTGGTCTACGCACCTCATCCTAACCTTAAAGGTAGCCACCCGTGTCCAAATAAACATCGGGTGGTCTACGCACCTCATCCAAAAATTCCAATTGCTTGCAACTTCCGGCCACCCAAACTGCCTGACCCTCGGCTCGTAACAAACGAGAAGACTCACAAGCTTATCGATGCGAGGAGCTAGGGGGATTGGTTGCGCGCTTAACCTAATCACGTTTCTTGTTCAGCGCGTAACTTAGCCAATAATAAACAAAAGTCTGAAATACATAAAAAAATTGGAATAGGGTAGATGGAGCGGGCGTCCGATTCTCCCTGTCCCTTGCCCCTTGCGTCGTTTAGTTTATGCTCAGTTCCCATTTTCTCGCTTTCCGATATTCCCGTAAGGTTCTTAACGTTGTACGTTAACGTAGATGTAGGATTTGGGATATTCTCTCTAAAAATACTGCTAGCTCATATGATGTATCAATGATGATGATGTATGTATCAATTGATGAAAGAAATACAGTATCATATAACAAAAAATTTTAAAACACTGTGTATCTTCATGATAATATTAGTTAATATTTTCATTCTGAACAAATTCGAGCAAACAAAGTCGCCTTTAAAGTAAAGTTTGAAGTATCTACCTTTCTACCACGGGAAGAAGACGTGGCCCATTTCAGTTGCAGTCCGCAGTCCCTCCTATAATCGAAGGCAGTGATCAATATCGGTCGAAAATGGTGACAAAGGTCAACAACAGGTAGCGAGACTGAGTGAGACGATCATTTTTCCGTATACTATTTTTATTTCCTCTCACTCGGTCTTGCTTACTACCCGTCGTTGACCTTTGTCACTGTCCTAGAAGAATATCGATCATTGCCTGCGATCGTAGGAGGAACACCGGATAGCAGCCGAAGTTTGTTTGTACAGGAGCACCGATAATGCGAGAGGAACATCTACCTTCGGCATCTACCGAAGCCGAAGCTATGTATATAATACAGAAAAATTGTTGCATAATGCAATGAAGAGCTATTAGCAATGACGCTAATTAGTAATTAGTAATTACAAATAATCATGTGTTTATCAGAAAAATCTGAAGTTAATGCTTTAGGTATAAGTCAACACTCTTGCATCTTATAATTGTTGCGTCTGTTTCACTTTGTCTCGTTTGTTCTACACCCCCTGACTCACGTCGCGCGTCTAGCTCATTTGTAGTCGCATAAATAATACATAGCACACACAAACGCGCGCGCGCGCGCAGAGTGAGAGAGAGAGAGAGAGACAGCGCACACGAACATACGTCAGATGTACTCCTCGCCGAAAATGGCGACCACGGGAGATCGTGACGTGACGTGAATCAGGGGGCGTTGTTTATATTTATCCTGTCGAACCTGTTTCGTGGAAATTCAGTATGGAGGCTAATTTGGGACTACAGTAAATTCTTCCTAATTGACGCTCAGCTTGCACATAAAAATGGACAATTTGGGAAAAAGTGATGATATGATTATACGAGTCTCGCGACTCGTTTTTATAGTTGTTGACAATCGGCGACAAAAAACGAGGCGACTAATCGTATCTCCTCCTTCCAAATTGTCCATTTTCGTTTATAAGTTTAAGGAAAATTTGGGAGAATTTACTGTATATGTAGTCCTAACGCATAAGTGGAACGTTTTTACGTTCGCGATGACATTTGACTTTCGTCATGTCGAACTATCGACTACCCGTTATTTGTGCAATTTTTTGCTGTTTTTTTTTACTAGTAAGTACTTTGAAAATTTGTTGTTCAACATCTTAACGTATCACTTCCTACTTCATTTGTTTGCAAAACTGTTTAAAAATGATCGTGGTTGTTTTAGATTGTACTCATTGCTTGCAAACGGCGACTGCTAATAACAATCCAATAGTAATAATCCGTTTCGTTTGTAGCAACAGTTTTGTTATCAGTCCTTGGCACAATAAAATTGCGCCTGTTTTTCAGAGCGGGTAAATTCCACCTCCAAAAAAATAGAGCATCTCCGTTTGCGAAGGGATTAGATGGTACTGTCTACCAAAGCTGATTGAATTAAAACATACTTCTCTCTTGCTTTTGATTTATGTGATTTATGTGAAAAAGCGTATTCTGGTTTTGTAGACGAAAATAAATGGTATATGTAAATCTAAAACAAAATTTTATCACTTCTATCAATGTTCATTTATTTTGATGTACAAAAATACGTTAAATATTGCTAATAATACGTGCGAGAAGTATTAGAACACTGACAGAAAAAATTCAATACATATGAAAACCCGATAGGATACTGTTATAATTTTTGAAATTTTCGATATATCCATGGCGTTCTTTCATTATTTCTTGGATATCGGCATCCGTTTTATTGGTCTCTCTATTATTTCCAATACTCTTTGACTCCATGCGTATTGTAGTATGTTCCACGTATTAAGAAAACATTTCGGGAATTTTTTGCATAAATGACACTTATAATTTAATATGTACTTCCGATATGTACTTTGTTACTTGCCATGTAGACTGCCTGCAGACAGATAGACATTATCTAAACTGAATAAGATTTATCATTAATAATTTGTAAGGGTGTTATTATAAGACAATATATTGAATTTTATTAGAATATTATTTATTAGAAAATTTGTTTATATCTGTATATGTATAATTGCATTAATTTTTTAAAAATTTGTTTTAGTTCAAAGAGTTTATTTTTATTATTGTTTATTGTTTATGATTTTATGTTTACGATTTTATAATATTACACAATCCATTTATTAATTTATTTAATGTGACATTCTTTGCGGCAAGGAATATAACATGCTATTTTTCGCAACAAGGAGCGAAACGTGTTATTTTTCGCAGTGCACTTAAAGATAATTTACTGTTATCTTATTTGGCATCCATTGACAAAACACGTAGATTGCCTGTACTGATGAACAGAATATTCCATTGTACACAATATTATATAATAAAACAAAAAAGGATACGTAAAATGAAATTATCAAACGTATCAACTAGTAACACTGGTAATAAAACAAAAGGAAACTGTTGCAATCTAGAAAATAACACGTTCCAGCCCTCCGATAGACCGTACATTTATAGAATATTCTTATAAAATTCGATGACAACATTTATCTAATTGTTCAGATCCGATTCGAAGTACTATTCAGATTCTTTTCGTCGCAACATGAAGAGTACCTCGAATTGCAATAGAATAAAAGGAGCTTCAGAAATAGGAACATGTATTTTGTATAATATAATCATTCGTGTAATGAGAAAAATTACATTTAATAAATACACGAGTAATATTTACACTCCCTTCGATCTCTTATAACACAAGTATTGCTGATATAATTGACTCGAGCACAGTAGTGCTAACACGAACAGCAAAGTACATTAATTCGCGTGAAGAACGGTAAAAAACTCGGCACGAGTACGGTAAATTAAATATGTAGTTAGTATAGCTGAACGTTAGTTGCTCGAAAGAAGGGCTGCCGATCTCCGAGCGAGCAACAATAGACACCTGGAAACGAGGATTATTTAGCGGTTTTGGTTACCTTTGGTGCTCGCTCAGAGATGGCCGTCTCTGTCTCTACACGGCGTATGGCAGTGTTTACATGTATTGTTTACTGAATTTTGCGTCGCAAGGCAACCGCGACTAGCGACGTCTAATCCCGAACACTAATGAAAGTAAAAAAGTTAGCGGATTCAACAATTCTTTTCGTAGTTTTACCCCATAACTGTAACAGATTTCAAGAACGTATTGATTGGGTTGCCAACAGTTGCTCTTACGGGTTACACAGAACCGAACCCGATTATATGCTACTATATTTACTTACCTAATAACCGGCTCTTGTAACCTTTCTGAAGTAACTGGGTTACGTATTGGGTTATGTTACCCACTCTTAACGGGTTAACCCGCATTGTGGACAACTTAGGAACCGTTCTCCCGCGAGTTGCTGTGGTTACTGTAACCTGCTTTGCTTAACCGGGTTAGGGTTGAAACACACTTACATGCCAGGCTCGATCGTGCTTCGATGCCAAGATACAGTGATTCGTATTTATTTTTGGTCACGATATTATTAGAAAAATTATTGCTCTCTTTTATTGTTTATGATAGTATTATTGAATCAATCGTTTTCTCATATAATGAAGCATTTCTTATAGTAACTAGGAACATAAATTTTGTTTATTTATTGCACATGTTCTTTTGTATAATAAGCGATAAACAAGATTATGACAAAATTTAACGTCGCAAAAATATTCGGACAGTGAATGAATTATATTAATTTGATATAAAATAGAGATCTTTTTAATCATGTTATCATAATATTAATATTTTGTCGGTTGACCCTATTGTTTGATTACTTCATTTAATCGCTTGGGTATGTTACAGATGATTTTATTTAAATACTCCAGTGAAATCCGTTCCCATTCGTCTAACAAACGTTGTTTTAACTCTGTTGTTGTTCTTGTAGATGTTGTACGAATTTTGAGGTCCAATTGATCCCATAAATTTTCAATCGGATTTAAATCAGGTGATTGAGAAGGAGGATGTAGTACTTTTGGACAATTGTATAATAAATATTTCTGTACAATTCTGGCCTTCTGTTTAGGATTATTGTCCTGATAAAACTTAAAACTGTTACGTATACCCATATTTATAGCACTTGTAATTAAATTTTTTTTTAAATGTCCGAATACCTCATTTTGTCCATAATACCCTCGATAAAAATTAGTTTATCTACACCTACAGACGAGATACAACCCCACACTATTATACTCCCACCACTGTGATTCACTGTTGGTCTTAAATTTGAAATGTTTAATTCTGTATTTACTTTACGCCACACCGTTTTTCGACCATCGGATCTGTAAAGATTAAATTTGCTTTCATTCGAAAGTATTACATCATTCTACCACGAGTTGTCTTTGTAAACATATTCTTTTGCAAAGTTCAATCCTTTCTTGCAATTTGCTTCATTTATGTATGGCTTTCTACGAGAAACTCTTCCGTTGTAACCATAAGTTTTTAATACCCGTCGCACTGTGTTCGGATGTATCTTCTTCCCAAATTTAATTTTGTAGCACTTTGTCCAGGATCTTTCTTTATTTTTCTTATTATCTTGCATTGGTCGCGAGAGTCTAGTAATTTTGGACGACCTTCCTGAGGGATTAAATCGATTCGATCCTCACGAATGTACCGACGTATAATATCTGCCACACTACTCTTGCTTATATTTAATAATTTGGCTATATCTCTGTATGATTTTCCCTTTTGTATGTGATAAATAACCAATTGTCGGGTTTTAAATGACATATTTCTTCCTTTCCATAAAGTAAAATTTTTATAAATAAAGCGTCTGATATCACCAATGCTTTCTGTGGTATCGAGTTCTCGCAACGAATTAGATGTTGTGTAAAGAAACTATCTATTTTACTCCAGCATCTAAGATGTTATGTCCGAATATTTTTGCGACGTTAAATGTTGTCATAATCTTGTTTATCGCTTATTATAAAAAAGACATGTGCAATAAATAAACAAAATTTATGTTTCTACTTACTTTAAGAAGTGCTTTATTATATGAGAAAACAACTGATTCAATAATACTATCATAAACAATAAAAAGGAGCAATAATTTTTCTAATAATATCGTGTCCGAATATTAATGCGAGTCACTGTATTCTTTCATTTGGTTTACATTAGAATGTTCATACTGTGCGCGCAGTTGTTGACAATCGGCAACTACAAAAATATGGAAGAAAAAAGACACTATATTTTTGTCCACATTGTGACGTAGGATTTTGTTTAGAAACGTGTTTCAAAGTTTATCACACGATATTAAATTATCAAGGCGAGAAACTAGTATTCTTTTTATTAGGAATTATGTAATTTCATTAATTAAATATAACTATCACAGATATGTAAAAGTTTCAATAATTAATAATAATATGGAAAAATTCAGAGTATATATTTGACGCAAAATACCGTCGGCCGCACGGTAAGAAATCAGGAAATGTACGTCGTCCTTGAAGGGTTAACTAAGAATAAACACTGTCTCAACGATAACAGTCTCACCATTTAAAAACAAAATAGTTTTGTATTGATGACATAAATTCGCAAAAAATTCCGCATGAAATGTAAATATGTCATACAGTATGATTATAAAACAGGTGTACAACCGATCATTCTGAAGCCAATAAATAATTTAATTGCATTAACTTGTTATTAATTGATATACTTACCTTGATATATAGACTAAATAGTAGAGGTAGGATAATCGAAACCTCGAATCCTTTAAAACCCTCGATATTCGAAAGTTTTGTTTGCTGCACGTTTCGGAGAATTGGCATTGACGGCGATGATCTGTACTATATGTATTTAGAGTAAGATATGCACGGAAACATTGTAATTACTTTTTAAAGCCTGCTAATACTAGTATTTCCATTCTTTAAAAAAATATATTTGTGGAGATAACGCTGAAGCTGATAAATGAGACGTTATATACCGACTCCCAACAAACTAGACACACAATCTTATGTTCGTTGTGACGTTCAACTTCCAAAATGACGAACTATCGACTTCTTGACATTTTCATAATTAGTTGCTGGTTTTCGAGTAGTATGTACTTTGAAAATGTTTTGTTTGAAAAGAGAAACATTTCATCACTTTACATTTAGTTTAGAAACAAAGCTGTCGAAAAGTAATCGAATTCGGTTGTTCTCGTCAATTCTATGACAGAATTTTTCTATCGCATACGAATCTTGAGATTTTCATATCAAAGTTGTGTAGGATCCTGGGAAAAAAAACAATCAAACCGTACATGGAAAACGAACCCAGGACTTTCGTTTGGTAGCCGATCGACTTGATCAGACACCAACAGAATCCTCCTAATTTCGCAACCTCCATAAGTGTTATTCTAGGGGGTCTTGTAATTGTTTTAAATTTGACTCGCAACTATGATACTATAAGTATTAATAACAATCCGTTTCGTTTGCAGCTACAGCTACGTCACCACTTCTTCACACAGTGACGTGGAATCTTTGTGCAAAGTATAATAGATATATTTATATTACTTTAGGTTTCTTAATGATGGCATGCGCTTATTATGGTTGTAAAATTAAATTGTAATCAACTTTCCTTTCCCCAGAAATGGCACTCGTATGACAGTGAAGTTTGATCAGGCAGCACAACTTGTTCCACATTTGAATTTGCAAGAGAACACGCTGATATATTGTCATGGTTACACGGAGTCTACAGATGTCACCGCAGTTGCTGCACTATTAAATGGTACACATAGTTAAAGATTGAGTCGTATTATATATTCAATTGGTTTTTAAATCATTCAAGCATGAATGCATTCAAAAGTTGGTTCGTTGCCTTTCGTAATAGAAAATTTTAACAGTCATTAATTTTCGATAAATTCATGTCGAACAATATACTAGACCATATTGAGACCATTGCAGATTAATTAATATTTGAACACAGACAATATGAATACCATGCCACTGTTATAATATCCGTGAAATTGTTGCAGGTTTGACAGCTGGTACCAATTTCAATATCATAGCAATAGATTACAGGTTTATCTCACATTTAGATTATCTTACGGCAGTTGATAATGCCGATGGTGTGGCTACAATTATCGTCCACGGTATAACTAATATGATCGCGGTAGGAATGGATAAAACTAAACTAATAGCCTCTGGATTATCTTTGGGTGCTCAAATCTGCGCTTTCGTTGGGCGCAAATTACTGAAATCATCCCTCGTTCTACCAAAGATAATAGGTATTCATTTCCATAGCTCTTGATTACTTCAAACTATGTAATACAACTATTGCGGTGCAATTTAAACTCTAAAGAAAGTAAATCTTATTATCAATAATAATCAATAAATATTTATTACTATAGGTTATATATTTATTACTATAGTTGTAGACAGTGCGACAAATAAGTTTCGAGACTGGCCGAGAAAAACATCATTGAAACAAGATATATGAATATTTTTCGATTTTTGTATTAAAAATATTCTCCTCCAGTTTCAATACACTTATTACAGTGATTCAACAGTGATTCAAATGCGTGTTCTAGCTAATTTTGTGGAATTACCTCTATCGCTCGTGTTGTAGCTATTTTGATGGTCGAAATGTCATTAAAAAAACATCCTTTCAACTTCATTTTCAATTTTGGGAATACGAAGAAGTCACACGGGGCCAAATCAGGCGAATACGATTGATGATTCAGTACACAGATTTGATTTCGAGCCAAAAATTGACGAACAATGAGTGAGGTGCGATTCGCTGCATTATCGTGCAACAGACACCAGGTCTATGGATCACGATATTCGGGTCGAATACGACGAATTCTGGCCACCAAATGCTTCAAAATTTCGAGATAATATGCGCCAGTAATTGTTTGGCCAGTTGGAACGAATTCCTTGTGGATAATTTCTTTGCTATCGAAGAATGTAACGAGCGTTGTCTTGATTTTTGATGGGACTTTCCGTGTTTTTTTGACTTGTGGTGAATCTTTCAACTTCCATTCCGCACTTTGACGCTTGGTTTCTGGGTTGTACTGAAAGCACCATGTTTCGTCATCCGTAACAATTGATTTCAGGAAGCTTGGAACATTTCTGGCGGCTGCAGCGACTTCTTTGGAATGATTGACATGCAACGATTTTTGGTCATATTTCAACATTGGCAAGAAAGTTGTTTAGGGAGAACTATCATAACCGATTGAACCAAAATTGATGCTACCGAAAAGAGGAATGTCACAGCTTTCAAACGCCGGTGTAAAAACATAGATGACACTATTAGTTATTGAGATATGGTTCGAATCTCGAAACTTACTATATTTGTCGTACTGTGTACATGGTAGATTCAATAATTACTTTTTAAGGAAGTTAATTTTTGTGTACTAAAAAATTGCTTGTCAGTCAAGTAGATAATATTGTTATTAATCATCCAAGAGATCGATTTGGTAGTGAAAGAATATTGTAAGTTGTACAATAGGTACAATATGTAGAATATAGAATTTTGATAGATATTTATAGAATTCTTACGAGCACAAAAGTCTACTAATTTTCTAGGATAAATTTTGTCATAGCTATCCATTTTTCTGATTACAGAGCATGGTACTTTAATATGAATCTCCTTTTACAGCTATGGATCCAGCCGGACCTTTGTTTAATTTTACCTCCCCCTCGCTATCTGCTTCTGATGCGGCTTGTGTAATATGTATTCACACCGATATAGGCTTCTATGGAACTACTCAACCCGTTAACTACATAGATATCTATCCAAACGGTGGTAAACAACAACAGCCTGGCTGTACAGTATTAACGCCAGGACGTAAGGCATTCCTCATTCTATTTATTTATTTTGCATAAGCACACGATGATTTGTTAAATGACGGAAATATGCGAATATTATGTTTTTAGCTCTACCAAACGTATGCAGTCATATCAGGAGTGAGGTTTTTATGGCAGAAGCAGCGAAAAATTCGAAAGCTTTCGTGGCTGTGAAGTGCAATAGTTGGGACGACTTTAAGGCTGGCAATTGCAATCAGAATGATACAATACCTATGGGATTCTTTACACCATGCTCTGCGTTAGTATAACGCTTCATCTTTATATTCATATTTATATTCATATTTCTAAGTATAAATGAATTATTGTGTTTTTCAGGCGGGGTAATTACTACCTCACCACAAATAGTGCATCTCCGTATGGGAGGGGCTCAGCCGGAACAGTTTACTAAAAGTGACCTAAATAGAATATACTTCACGCGTCTCTTGCTCTTAGTTTAAACATTTCTTGTTGTTTGATTTATGTAGGCGCATATAATGGCGCATATAATAGAATCTTGTCAATTAAAGCAATGTTAGTACATGTATACGTAGATATAGATTCGAACCGTAACTTTTTCGATTAAGGACTGTGTGTGAGAACAATTCTTGATTTCGTTTTGTGGTGTATTTATGGCATAAAAAATTGGTAAGCTTTTCGTGCAATTCTTGTGTTTTGTTTCAAAATTTTTTAACTAACCCACTGACAGGTATATTCATTATAACTGTGATAAGATATCCACTGTCATTTTATGAAGGTCACATGATGTTTCAATTTTTCAATGGTTGTAATTATACAATAAGGAAATGAACAGATAATGTCAATATTGACAAATGAGGATTTATATGTGCATATCGAACCCTAACGCATAAATAGGAGGTTTTTACGGTTTTGGTGACATTTGACTTCCATCATGACAAACTATCGATTTCCTGTTATTTTTGCAGTTTGTTGCTGCTTTTTTACCAGTAAGTACTTTGAAAATTTGTTGTTCAACAGCAAAACTGTTTAAAAATGATCGAATACGGTTATACTGCTTATATCGTAGTAGTTTTAGATTTTATTCATTGCTTGCAAACGGCGATTGTCAATTTCAATCCATTAGTAATGATACATTTCGTTTGCAGCAACAGTTTTGTCATCAGACCTTGGCACAATAGAGTTGCGCCTCTATTTCCGGTAATAATTTATACTAATTTACATTAGCATACATGTATTTATATCGCTTTACAATTGTTAATAATGTTGTCAGTTTCAATCATGATTGATTATGATATCTCAAAGATAGCTGAAAAATGACAAAATCGTTATGAACACTTTCGTCCTCAGAAATGGCACTCATAAACAAGTGAATGCTTCGAAAGCGGGAGAACTTGTGCGGTCCTTGAACTTACAAGCAAAGACATTGATACACTGTCATGGTTTTAGGCAATCGACGGATTCAGACGATGTTGTTAGCCTAATGAAAGGTACATTTTGATTAAAATCAAAATGCGTTCTACATAAGGCTTGAGTCATACTAGGTATGGGCGATTCTTTCAAAAAGATCGATTCTTGAATCAATCGTGAATCGCATCATCAAAGATCAATGCAGTAGAAAATCGTGGAGTGAAAGATCAATTATCTGAAAATCAATTTAAAAGAAATCCATTGGAATACTATTTATATACGTTGGTATGCTGCATGCCAGCGTATATATTGTTGCTTTATCATAGCATACCGATTTTCTAAATCGCAAATGTAAAATGCAGTGCTTTAATTCTTATGCCATTTTAAAACCGACTTGCAAGATTACTGTACATTTCAATTATTGTTAATTTCTCACTTTGTCAAGTCCCAAATAAGTAAATAAATATACCAACCTAGTTAAAAAGTTTAGATGCAGTCTCTCTGAAATAGACCGCGAATTTTAAGCACTAATTACAAAATTGATTACGTAAAATTTTCAACACTGTAAAGATAAAAAAGATTTAGGGATACCAATATTTCATTTTCCAACTATTAAAACTGTTAATAAAAGAAGGAACTTCTATGCATAAAATTTTTATTTTGCATAAAGATCTGCAGTCTAGTTATTAATGTTATAAACTCACTGTTGAGTTACCTTTTTATTGACGAATTTGATTTTCATTTATTGTACAATCTTCGTATTAAAGATCGATTCGTAATTTTAAAAAATCGAGTATCCACGAATCGATAAAAAATATCGAAAATCGCTACAAAAAAATCGATTTAGAATCGCCTAGACCTAAGTCGTGCTATAAATTCATTTGGTTTTAAAAGCGTCCACATATACATACAGTAGCTCACGAAAGTATTCGAACGCCTTTTAAAACGCAATAACTTTTTTAAAACTGGACTAAGGGACTTGAATTTTTTTCAGATGATAGCGGGACTAGTCTACCAGATAATGACCAAAATGCTTTTCTTAAATTTTGCTATTACTTGGAATGACAAAAAAAATAAAAACTCCCGTTTTTTTAACTTTTTTACTAACTAACTTACTAGTCCTGCTATCATCTGAAAAAAATTCAATTCCCTTAGCCCAGTTTTAAAAACGTTATTGCGTTTTTTCGAAGGTTCGAATAATGAAATAGTTTTTCTTCATTAGTAATAAAAAATGATAGCAATCATTAATTTTCGATATGTTCATTTCGAACAATGTACTAGATTATGTAGACACCATAATAGATTAATTTAGTGTTGTATACGAATAGAAACACTATGCTGCTGTTATAATATCCGTAAAATTATTGCAGGTTATTTAGCTGGTTCTAATTATAACGTGATCGCAGTAGATTATAGGCATGTGTCATATAAGGATTACCTGTCGGCAGTTATCCTTGCCAATGACGTGGCTACAGTTATTGTTCAAAGTATAAACGATATGGTCGCGGCAGGAATGAATCAAACAAAACTAGTAGCCTCTGGATTTTCTTTGGGTGCTCAAATCTGCGGCGTCATTGGACGAAAATTACCCTTCGAGCTACCAGAGATAATAGGTATACGTTACACGGGTCTTCGTTACCACAAACTGTTTAATACAGCTTTTACGAAATAGAAATTTAAACTTCAAAGAAACTAAATGTTATTACGAATACTTGTTTATCATTATAGATGACTCAGTTGTAATTCTTGTTTTTTCAAGATTGTTGTTTCACTTGTTTTTTCTTTAAAGAGATTGCTTCTATAGTAGTAAAAAACATTTAATTCCTTCAGAAGATATTACTGTCATCATGTTTAATTTTGAATATGAAACTCGTTTGAACAACAGTCAACTAATTTTCTTAGAAAAATTTCTTAATAATTATGCTTTTCCTCCTATTACAAAGCATGACACTATGTATGTCCCGTGTCCTTCTTTCATAGCTGGGGATCCTGCCGGACCTTTGTTTTATTTCTTCGACAAATCGATATCTGCTTCGGACGCGACTTGTGTCAAATGTATCCATACTGATATGCGCTTTTATGGAACTGGGGATGCCTGTGACTACATAGATTTCTATCCAAACGGTGGTTCTAGAGAACAACCTGGCTGTTTATTGTTCTCACTTCAAGGTGAATCACTTATTTGTCTACCTCCTTTTTTCGCACAAGTAGTCAACGATTACAGGAAAGTCAAACTCTTGCCATACTTTGACGAGTCTGACACGTGATGGAGATTTCTAGTAATAGCTTGTCAAGTATGAATCTATTCCGTTGTTTTTAGTCTGAATAATATTCTGATTTCTTGTCATCAATATTTAAACATTTATATAAATGTAGGTACACAATAAATATTAATTGCTTTTTTCTTCTTAGAAATGATTACAATCGAAAACATCTAATTATTTTAACTATGAAGAGAATGATGCGGCAAGGGCTTAAATGTGAAACATTCTTGTAATACCAAGTTCCTTCCAATTCATGCTAATATGTGATTACTATTTGCTTAGACCTTACGAACTCGTGCAGCCATAGCAGAGCTGAAAAGTATATGATAGAAGCTGCGAGGCATCCGAACGCGTTCCCCAGTGTAAAATGTGACAGTTGGGATGACTTTAAGAATGGAAAATGCAATCGGAATATTATAACACCTATGGGAGAATCTGCGCGATGCTCAGTGTTAGTACAACGCTTTCGAAGATTCTTTTTTATGATTATGAACCCGTTGCATTTCGTTTTAACAATTATGTGCTACAACGATGTAGATGCACAGTGGGGAGCAAAACTAAGTCAACACATTTAAAACGGCATAACATGTTTAAAACTTATTACTTCGAACAAAAAAGGTGTAAAAAACTGTCGTTTTTTTATCTGAACCTATAATGAAAATTTAATAACTTATATACATGCTGAAAAATTCATCGAAATCTGTTGACACATATAGATTATTTAGATTAAAAACATGTAAAAATTACCTGTTCTTGGTTGAAATTCGTGAAAAATTATGATTTTCGTGATCTTCAATTGTTCACAGTTCATGTCAAAGTCAACCAATTTCGATGAAATTTTCAGCATACATATACCGACAAGTACCAAATGCATGTTTTAAATTTTCATTACAGGCTCAGATAAAGAAGTGAAAAGTGTTTTTTTGAAAAAAGAAGTGTTTTTTGCACTTTTTTTATTCCAAGTAATAAGAAAATTAAGAAAAAAGTATTTTAGTCATTGTACAGCGAACTAGTCCCTCTAATAGTTACAGAAAAATTCAAGTCATTTGGACTAGTTTTTTAAAAAAAGTTATACCGTTTTAAAAGTATTAACTAATTGTCAGTTTCGCTCCTCACTGTATGTTGCAGTTTCTTATTAATCGTTACTTCCATTTATTATTTTATGTTTATATTTGTGTGTACTGATAAATGGTTGTATTTTCCAGGACGGGTAAATTCTACCTCCAGACAAATAGTGCATCTCCGTTTGCGAAGGGATCAGCTGGTACTTTCTATCATTGAGTCTTTTAGCTGAACCGTATCCCCATGGATATTTTTATGTAGTATTGTAGTAATCTTTATTATGTTATAATGTTCACGATTGAAAATTGTTGCACGCCTTCTGGCTGCCGATAAAATGCAAATCGTCACGAAAATGAGCTGTTTCATTATCTTTATTCGTTTGTAGCTTGCGTCGAGGTCAACCGATTTGAATGAAATTTTCAGCAAGTATTCTAGGCGTAGATAAAAAAAGTTGAAAGAAACGGTATTCTTATTGACTTTGTTATTCCAATCAATTGCAACTTCTGCAAAAATTGAGAATAAATCGAGATGTTTGGATCAATTTTCGGAAAGTTACTTCGTTGTCGTTGCTACATGGTGCAAACATGTAAACGGCGAACTGACTATGTAAAACACAATGAGTATACAAAATATTCATACACCTATTGAAACGGAATAACTTTATAAAAATTGCATCAATGAACTGAAATATTTTTACGCGATAGTACCACTTCACTAGACAATGCCTAAAGCAATTTTCCAAAAAATGCAAATGGTTGAAATGACAAAAATAATAAAGAAATACATGCCACGTTTAACATTTTTATTTGAAAATTTAAATAATGGATTTTGTAGATCTTGATAATCTATGTTGTATGCATGCTGGATGTTTTATCGAAGTTAGTTAACTTTTTTCTGCATCAACCGATTTCGATGAAGCAGTGTAGCTCAAGAGGCATAGTTCTGTCAAATAGTGGGGGTTATCACTTCGCTCCTTATTAGCAGAATTATGAAGTGGCACGCGAGTCAGTTGGAAAAATTTGCCTTGCAATACGCTGATCGAAAGGCTTGGCTAATGTATAGAAAAGTAAATGTGATCTTGTGAATGTAAATATGTAAATGGTTTATGTAGAAAAGTGTAACAAAATCTTACGAATGCAAACGGTATACCTTAAATTCGTTGCGCACAAATATATTAAAGATTGTTAATAGATGTATACGTGGGTGTGCATTCGAACCGTAACATTTTTAGAAAAGAGCTACATGTGTGAGAACGATTCTCGACTTCGTTTCTACGTGAGTTTATGCCACGGAATCAGTTCGTATTTTGGGCAACGTTAACTGCAATCGCCTCAAAAATTATTTACCGCTGCTGAAAGTTTCGTTGGCCGATGAGCTCTGAACTGTGCGGACCAGTTTTGTTGCAGCATAGTGCTTCACACGTGTCACAGAAGTAATAGTACAAATCTAACAATGCGTTGATGCCGAGTGCGGTATAAAAGTGCTACAATTCACATAAAATGAGCGATGCAATTAAAAATAAAAAATTGATGCCAACAATCTCATCGTTTAAAGGCGAAACAGATTCGTATCGGTGACGTAAGTTAGCAAACACTTCCGTATTAAATGTCAGTATGTCGAACAGTGCGTCTATGCAACGAGTGTGCAACTGATCATTCCGAAGCCGATAAATAATGCAACTGCATAAATCAGATTGATCGTTAAATCAGATATCTACTCCAAGGACCTCCGACTTTCAGAATGACAAGTTATCGACTAGTATTTATTTTTGTGATCAGCTGTTGTGTTCCGAGCAGTAAGTACTTCGAAAATATTTCTTTTGAAAAGAAAAACGATTTGTCACTTTCCATTTAATTCAGCAGCAAAGTTATTAAAACATAATCGAATTCGGTTGTTCCCGTCAATTCTACGAGAGAGTTCTACATCGCATCCGAATCTTCAGATTTTTAGAATTCTGTAATCATAGTCGCGATTGTTTTAGATTCGACTCACTAATTTGTTACTGTAAGTATTCACAATATGTAATCCGTTTCATTTTGCAGCTACCGTTTTGTCAGCGGCTGTTGGAACAATAACGATGCGTCTCTATTCCAGGTAATTATTTATATCAATTTAGATTATTAAAACGCAATAACTTTTTTGAAACTGGACAAAATGACATGAATTTTTTGTTAGATGATAGAGGGACTAGTATACTAGACAATGACCAAAATGTCTTTTTTAAATTTTGCTATTATTTGGAATGACAGAAAAAATAAAAAACTCTCGTTTTTTAACTTCTTTATCTGACCTTGTAACGAAAATTAAAAAAATGCCTCTCGTAGATCTCAGTAACTTATATGGGTGCTGAAAATTTGATCCAAATCGGTTAACCGAGAGTCGAGCTACAGGCATTGAAAGATTTTGAAAACTGCAGACTTCTTACAGGTTTTGATCAAAATCGTGACAGAATTGCAATTTTTGTCATCTTTAATTTGTTGTAACTCGTGATAACGTCAACCGATTTCGATCTAATTTTCAGCACGCATATAAGTTACCGAGATCTACGGGAGGCATTTTTTAAATTTTCGTTACAAGGTCAGATAAAAAAGTTAAAAAACGAGAGTTTTTCATTTTTCCTGTCACTCCAAATAATAGCAAAATTAGAAAAAAACATTTTAGTCATTGTCTAGTATACTAGTCCCTCTATCATCTAAAAAAAACTCAAGTCACTTAGTCCAGTTTCAAAAAAGTTATTGTGTTTTAGAAGGTGTACGAACACTTTTGTGAGTCACTGTATATTTATGTTGCTTCATAGTTTCACAAGAAATACAGATTTTACATATTCTTTACATGTTTTGCACACCAATTTTACGTTGTGAATGTTGCTGACGTTTCCATGTTTTGCAATCTACTCCGTTTTCCTTAGGAACGATTCTTATAAAGAAGTCGGTGCAGAACAATCGCGACAACTTGTGCCGCATATTAACTTGGGAGTAAAAACACTGATACACTGTCACGGTTTCCGACAATCAACAGATTCCCCACATGTCCTGAATCTAATACACAGTACGTTTTAATTGAGCCTTTGTAGTCCAAAGTATCTGTTCCTCTCATTCAATTCATATAATTCAAGCAGATTTACGCATGTGACGTTACAATGTATTTAAAATATTTGAGTAATAAAGTTGTACTTATACTCCCCTCTAAAATTATTAGGACGCCTGTTGATTTAGTATAAATTGTAATTTCTCATTCAGTTCAGGTAATGTTTCACGAAGTGTATCAAATCTTTTTAATTTTTCGACATCGTACTGTCGTATTGTATTTTGTTAAGTGAAAACATATGTTGAGTTTATTTCGTACGATACGTTATCGAAATATGTGGGACATACTAAAACACTCCTGGAACAAAACAGAATCAGAAATAATAGACAGACTAATAAAAAGAAGGCTGTAATTAGTCCAAGAAGTAATTCAAAAACGCGGTGGATATAACGACGAAAGGAAAATTTAATTTTCTTTTATAGAATTGACGTTACTTTTATTATAATGTAAACAAATATATAGATATATGTACTTGTTACAGTTTCATACAATTAATTTTGAAAGAAATTGAAGGAATTACAACAATTTCTAGTCGGCATCTCAAAATTTAATTTTCTGTGAGTGTTCTCATATTTCTGGAGGAGAGTGTACGTGCCATGTAATTGTAACATTATTCATGAATAAAACGTCAATCAGGAAAATAAGTAACTATTAGTGGAAAAGTCAATTACGAGCCTGGATAGGATCGCAAAGTGTTAAGATGTAGCAAACAATTTATATAAAAATTGAATTCCATTGCAAATCCATTATACGTATATTAACGTAACAATATTCCTGCACGATAAATACGACTGTAATGTAATTTATGAATTTTGCATCCTGCACAATCGGTTGGAATACTGAAATGCTAATAATATGTACGAAATTGCTGCAGATTACTTAGCCGGTTTCGATTATAATATCATCGCAGCGGATTACAGGCATGTTACACTGAGAGATGATTATCTATCATCGGTTTACCTGGCCAACGAGGTTGCTGAGGTTTTAGTCCGAAGTATAAATGATATGGTTGCGGTTGGATTGGATAAAAATAAATTATTACTCACTGGACTTTCTTTGGGCGCTCAAATCGCCGGCCACATTGGACGTATTCTACCCTTCAAACTTCCAGAGATAATAGGTGTGTTAATCATAATTTGACAATACTTAAAAAGTATCTTACCGAATTCTCTACTATGTAATCAAAATTACGCAAATTAGTAACGTAAGTACTAAATGAAATAAATGTTATTACGAATACACTTCTATCATTATAAATAACTTAATTGCTGATAGTAGATTCAGTAATTTGTTTTCTTCGTAGAAAATGAATGAACTAATTAGGATTTAAACAGAAGATTATGTCATACATTTTCCATTTAGGTAAGATAACAGAAAAAAAGATTGTTGTAATGCAAATTGTAAGCAAAGATAGATGTAGTATAACTACTTCATAGCATGTTATATTGTATTCTATTGTATCGTAGTGTTCTGCTTTCAATAAAGCTTTTTTATATGTATATTTCATATATTTTTTCAACATACGACGTTTGCATAGACATTCGCAGTCTACTGATAACATATCGAAAGAAATTTATGTATAATACTTGAGGGGATAATATTACTGTGCACCATCCATCATCTATAAAATATTTTGTTGCGAAAGATATTAGTACAAGTTATACATTTGTAGGTAATTATTATTCAGAGTCAAAGCTTTAAACGCGTTTATTTGATAAAGGCATGGTGTGAACCGTTTTCAACATCGGTTCGCCTTTTGTCAAAACGAATAAACATCGTAATGTATCTTCTTATTGATCGCATCGCATAGCTGGCACGACGCAACGCATTCTACAGTTCGGCCAATCCTGATCCATGATGATCGTCTTAACTTTATTTCCAAAAGTTAAACCTTCAAAAAAAGATTATAATTCGTATTATGAAAAACACACAGAACGTAAATAGGAAGTAATAAAAAAAAAACTCACGCAATGCAAATAAACACGCATACAAACACACACGAATTCAAACTTATTCACAATGCTTGTCTTAGTCTGGGCCAACAACTCCTGTGTAAGGTACGTAAGAAACTTGAAATCTCTCTACATCCGTTACAATTATATCCGTGTTGCGAATCACTACATAATCACCTATTTGATACGTAGTCGGTTTTTTGTGTCGTTTATCATACGCACGTTTATTCTCTTGCTGAGTTTTAAAAAATTTCTCAGCCGTTTCCTGGCGTTTAATCGATAAGTTTCTTGTTTTAATAGTTTTTTGTTGTTTAATACACTTAACGCTTCTCGAAAATTATCCGATACCGTCTCTTCTCGATTTATACCAAATAATAATTGAGATAGGCACTTTCCAGCTAACCGACAAACAGTGTCTTTAATGGCAAATTTAACCAAATGGTCAATTTGATTCCATTTACCTGGAGACACCTTAAGTTTTGCTAATATTGGCGTTATAACTTTTTTGAAATGCTCGACCTCACCATTCGCACGCGGAGTACCTACCGCGATTAATATTTGTTCTATTTCACTATTCGCTAAAATCTCCTTAACTAAATTTGATGTGAATGACGTGCCTCGGTCACGAATTAGCCGTTCTGGTTTACTATACACTTTAAAGTACTCTGTCAAATTTCGAATCACTTCTTCAGATTTTGTCGATTTATAAGCATAGAGTCTAACGAATGTGGTAAACTCATCCACTACTGCCAAAATGTATTTAAAACCTTTTCCACATTTCCGTAATGGTAATGGTCCACATGAATTGTTTGAAATGGTAGATCACCTTTAGGTAAACTATGCAAAAACCCCCCTGTTTACCACTAAACCAGTTTACCTGTCTTATGTCATCGATGACAGCTTAATAATATTATTTTCTAAACTGTCACTTAATTCATTATGTTTTTCCTCGCTTGTTTCCAATATATTTCTTAATCCATGAATCGTACGGTCTTGATGTTTTTTAATTGACAGCGTTTCTTCTAAAGTATTAAGTTTCAATACTAATATCGTATTGTATCGACTCAGTGCATCAACATGTTCCATTTTACTTCCACTGCGATGTCTAATGATATAAACATAATTTTGTAAATACATTGCTGAACGGGATATTCGTGAATTAATGTTCTGCTTATTGAGAACTAATCTGAAACTGTCACAGTCTGTAATAATTTTAAACAGAATGCCTGATAAATAAATACGATCTGATAAATCTTTTGATCGTATAAACCACTGCCAAACATTTAAGTTCAAAACTATGATATTTCCACTCTTGAATTCTTTTACTAAAGTAGAATAACGGTTGAAAAACTTTGTTTGACTGTTTTTGAAACAAAATGGCTCCAAATTCACATCTACTTGCATCGCAATGAAGTTCTGTATCTAATTTTGGAGAGTAAATTGCCAAAACGGGATCATTTGTTAAGCGTTGCTTCAGTGAAACAAACGTTTGGTTTTCCTCTGACCCAAAACGAAAAACAGCATTTTTTCGTAGCAAATTGAAAAGAGGTCTCGCGATAAGCGAGAAATCTTTTATAAATCGATGAAAATAACTCGCTAAACCTACAAAGCGTTGTACTTCCTTTGTATTTCTTGGTATCGGGTAATCAACGACAGACACTGGCGCAATGCCGTCATCAGATATTGAGTACCCTAAATAAATTATTTCCCCCAATAAAAACAAACACTCATCTAACCTAAACCGTAAATTAAATTGTCTTGCTAATTCAAATATTTCCCGCAAAATGTCTAAGTGTTCATCGATTTTATGCGTAGTCACCAAAAATCGTCCAAATAAAATAAAAGTTTCTTTTGCTTAAGTAAATCATTAAAAATGTCACTTAAATATCTTTGAAAAATACGAGGCGCATTCGTTAGTCCAAACGGCAGTTTAACATACTCGTAATGACCTAGTGGTGTTATAAATGCCGTATATTTAATAGATGATTCTGCCACTTTAACATGGTAAAATTCATTTTTTAAATCCAATTTCGTGAAATATTTGTTGTCTCTCAGCTGATCCAAACAATCACCTATTAGCGGAACTGGAAAATTGTCTCGAACTGTATGTTTATTTATTTTTCAATAGTCGACACACAGGCGAATCTCCCCGTTCTTTTTCCTAACCAGGAAACCTCCCTTACCAAATCATCAAGAATTACCCGTAATTTTTCTTTTAGGCTGTTCAGATTTCAAAGAAATAACGGCTTCAATAGAGCACGGATGTGTCATTGTTGCCAGGTTGTACACTGTGCTCTCAAAATAAATTTCTTTTAACTTTCTTGCTACAATAATATCTAATTTAGGATCTACGTTTAGTTGATGGCTCACGGAGGTTGGGTTCTTAACATATTCAATTTGAAAAATTTGCTCAGCGAACGTTTCCGAGTCAAAGTCCACTTTCCTCGGGCTTAACACGCTGACGCCGGCGCGGATATTTATAGCTTTTTCCGTACGGCGGCGCTTGAATTAACGCTCCGTTCCGTGGGGCGGCGCAAGCCCAAATTAATGTTCAACACAATACTTGCGCGGTAATACCTAGTAGGTGTTTCAGATAGATCTCGGCGAGCTAAAAACCAATCTAAAATTTGGTTTTGCTTCATCGCCCTCAGTTTTTGGGAAAATCAATTTTTATGAAAATCGCAGTTTATCACCATTGGCAATATCAGTTTGCGTACATTCACTTAAGATTTACACACATGTAAATGTTAAGTAAAGCTGACCGTACCAGTTTTGGCCCTAATTTTGGTGTACCCTGTTCGATTCTTCTCCAAAAGTAGAGGTCTGATGCGCATTCTGACCATCGCACGCAATTCTGTGAACATTATTCTATAAAAGACAATCATAGCGCAAAGCAAAAAATGATTCAATTTCGTACAGAAAAAAGAAATAGTTGTGCGTATTCGACGAAGGCCTGTGTGCATGCTAACCACTTCAAGCAATCACAAATGTATTCTTATTCGCGGCAAAAAAGATAAAGTAAAGCCAGACACTGTTTTTTTTTACAATGATGCAAAAAAGGGAGTCGATCTGTCTGACCAAATGTCGTCATATTATAATTCTTTACGAAGAACAGTCAAATGGTACCGGAAACTTGTTATACGGTTGATATGCGGAACCTGTCTGGTGAATGCGTGGTGCGTTCACATAAAATGGGGAAGTAAACGGATGAAAATTTTAAAATTCAGAGAAAAGATTATTGACCATTTGTTGATGGATGTTGTAAATTCCCCTAGGGAAATAATAACAAAAAAGAAAAACCATTTTCTGAGTTCCTACGAAGGACCCGCGAGGAAGTCGAGAAGGCGATGTAAAGAATGTTATAAACGATTAGCAAACCTAAGAGGCACTCAGTACGCTATGAAGAGAACAAAAAAAGTAAAAACATTTTGCAATAATTGTGAGGGTAAACCGGCACTTTGCTTAACTTGCTTTAACTTGCTTATTATTTAAGTATTTTATACTGAATGTTTGATTATAATGTTGAAATGTTAATGTTTACTGATGAATAATTAAAATAAAATTAATTTTATACTATGTATTTTTTGATATACGAGCGTGGCCCATCGGTGGGTCATGCCGCCCCACGGAACAATCAAGCATGACCCATCGGTAGGTCAAGCCGCCCCACGGAACAGACAATCATGACCCACCGGTGGGTCAAGCCGGCGTCAACGTGATAATCTCTGCAAAACTTCCCAATGATATTTCAATTACTTGAGACCGAATGAAAACTCTCCCCAACAAAACAAAATGTGACACTGTGTGTGTGTGTGTCGTATCTGGTACCACAAAAAATATAATCGGTACACGCGCGTCTTTGACACAGACTTCCATCGCAAATGCTCCTACAATATCGACAGGAGAATAGTTCACACCATAAAACATGCTGCTCACCGGTGGCTCAAAATAAAACTGTCCTAGCAAAGAACTTCTCCGAATCAAACTAATGGGTGAACCTGAATGAATAATCGCAACTATACATGAATAATACGCCACATGTCGCTCCGTTGACAACTTCGGTAGTGCCTTCGAAGTTGGCGTTGATATAGCTACCTGCCATTGATGTCGTGCCTGCGGACAATCCTTCGCCCAGTGCGACTTTTCTCCACACATGAAACAGGAACCCCATTCTCGCCTCGACTTCGTGAAGTCTCTCTTCCAATATCACGTCTCGTTGCAATTTAAACACCAAACAACCTTTTCCTGCGCGAAGGCCCTCGTTGTAGCTAAGCTCTCCGGTGACGCCAATTGCTTCAGATTCCTGAACTCCCGGCTGCTCCTCAAAGACACCTTCTGAAAAAGTCTCTGCCGTCTCTAATCGCTGCATACGCGCCTAATCCCGGTGTTGCGGCTCCGGTACTCCATCGATCAACAAATTCACCAATTCTACCGGATGAATTAAAATCTTGCTCGCCAATGTAATTTTATCATAAAAATAGTCCGTAAACGACTCATTCCTTTGCCACACCCGTCTATCAAACTCCCTTCTTGCGGCTAACTTATCTACCCTATGATCGAACATCCTCCGTATCTCTTCTAACAAAGCCGACGCGGACAATTCCAATAAACTAGATTTCGAATGAAACCATTTTAAAGCTTTACCATGAAGGTGCAGTATGATAATCATCAATATCGCACAATTGTTCAAACTATACATACTTCTAAGCCGTTCGACCTGCTGTCCTTAAATTCGGAATGTGTTCTGGTCGCCCGAAAATTCACACAGTAAACCAGCAATAGTTCCAATGCTGGCGGTGAACCTGACCGTAACACTGCTTCCTATGGACTGGAAAGTCAAATCTCTCTCTCTCTCTCTCTCTCTCTTTTTTTGCACTAAATCCAATTCACGCTGCAAAAGATCACGCTCTCTGCGAAGAATTTCCATTTTTTTGTCCTTTAAAGACATGTCTGTGAGGCCCTGGGTATCTTGGAAATCACCATTATCAGCATGTTCCCGAAGAGTATCCTCAATATTCGGGTCAACAGCAACCAAACTAGCAATTAATTCAGCCTTCGCGCTAGAAACAGCACATTCCCTGGATCTGAGAAGTTCCTCGAGTTCCACAATCGTTAAATTGTACACACTTCCTTAATTTTCCGCCATGTTACAAACGCACACAAAATGCCAAAATAAAAATAAAAATTGTTCAAATTATCCAAATACCGATAGCCGTGAACAAAAATTCTAAATTTCACGCACTATCCAACATCGTCGTCCGAATCCCACTCTTGAAAATTGTAGGTAATGATTCGGCAAATTCATTATTCAGAGAGCCGAAGTTTTAAACGTGTTTATTTGATAAATATTCGGTGTGAACTGTTTCCAACATCGGTTCGCCTTTTGTCAAAACGGATAAACATCGCAATGTATCAAACAATCTTCTTATCGATCGCATCCCATAGCTGACACGACGCAATGCATTCTACACATTCGAATAAGAAACTCGTTCGAGAAACGTTCATACTAATTACGTATCTTTTCTGATTGCAAACCATAATAAAAATCTGTTTTCGTTACAGCTATGGATCCTGCCGGACCTTTGTTTAAATATGTTGAGCAAGGGATAACTGCTTCTGATGCGCTCTGCGTCAAATGCATTCATACCGATATGTACTTCTACGGAACTTCGAAAACCTGCGGCCACTTAGACTTTTATCCAAACGGCGGATTTGGAGAGCAACCTGGTTGTCCATTACTCCCGGCCACCGGTATGTCAAACATTTCTTTTTCTATTTACTAGACTCTTTCATCATTTTATTGTGAATCACTAAAATATTTTAATGGATTACTACGCATGCGCGGGGAGTCCATGTGTATAATGTAGTACAATAGTGAACATTGTAGACAGTGCGACAAATAAGTTTCGAGACTCGGATCATATCTCAGTAACTAATAGTGCCATCTACGTTTATAGACCGGCATTTGGAAGCTGTGGCATTCCTCTTTCCGGTAGTATCAATTTTGGTTCAATCGTTTGATAAATAGCAAAGTGATAACAGTTCTCCCTAAACAACTTTCTTGTCGATGTTGAAATATGACCAAAAATCGTTGCATGTCAGTCATTCCAAAGAAGTTGTTGCGGCCGCCAGAAATGCTCCAAACTTCCTGAAATCAATTGTTACGGATGACGAAACATGGTGCTTTCAGTACGACCCAGAAACCAAGCGTCAAAGTGCGTAATGGAAGTCGAAAGATTCACCACAAGCCGAAAAAGCACGGAAGTTCCATAAAAAATCAAGACAATTCTAATTACATTTTTTGGTAGCAAAGTAATTATCCACAGGGAATTCGTTCCAACTGGCTAAATAATTACTAGCACATATTATCTCAAAGTTTTGAAGCGTTTGATGGCCAGAGTCCGTCGTATTCGACTTGAATATCGCGATCCAGAGACCTGGTATCTGTTGCACGATAATGCACCGAATCGCACCTCACTCGTTGTTCGTCAATATTTGGCTCGAAATCAAGTCTGTGTACTGAATCATCAACCGTATTCGCCTGATTTGGCCTCGTGTGACTTCTTACTATTCACAAAAGTAAAATTGAAGTTAAAAAGTTGTGTTTTTAATGACATTTCGACCATCAAAACAGCTTCAACACGAGCGCTAAATACAATTTCACAAAATGAGCTAGAACGCGCATTATAATTACTGTTGAATCGCTGTAACAAGAGTATTGAAACTGGAGGAGAATATTTTGAATAAAGAAATCGAAAAATATTCTTATATTTTGTTTCAATGATGTTTTCCTCGGTCAGCCTCGAAACTTATTTGTCGCACTATGTAATATTGAACTACGATGGCGACGTAACACAGAGCTTCTGTCTGATCGTAGTTCAGAATTACAATGTTCGCCCGGTAGATGACCCACGCCACTGTGCGAGATCCCTTGCGCATGCGTCGCCTTGCGTAGTTATTTTTTCTGACTGCACTGGCCTGGAATAGCTTTATTTACCTCATCAAAACTTTTAAATAATCCTCCTAAGTACTCCTAATGACTGAAAACATTGTTCTACAAGCGATTAATAGACGACATAAAATTCGCAGTTTAGTAATGAACATGTAAATGTTTTTGTACATATCAAAGTTATTTTAGTATGATTCATTACACATAAATCATTATACATCAATTTATGTTAATATGTGATTGCAATTTGTTGAAATTGTGCAGGCNATAACAGTTCTCCCTAAACAACTTTCTTGTCGATGTTGAAATATGACCAAAAATCGTTGCATGTCAGTCATTCCAAAGAAGTTGTTGCGGCCGCCAGAAATGCTCCAAACTTCCTGAAATCAATTGTTACGGATGACGAAACATGGTGCTTTCAGTACGACCCAGAAACCAAGCGTCAAAGTGCGTAATGGAAGTCGAAAGATTCACCACAAGCCGAAAAAGCACGGAAGTTCCATAAAAAATCAAGACAATTCTAATTACATTTTTTGGTAGCAAAGTAATTATCCACAGGGAATTCGTTCCAACTGGCTAAATAATTACTAGCACATATTATCTCAAAGTTTTGAAGCGTTTGATGGCCAGAGTCCGTCGTATTCGACTTGAATATCGCGATCCAGAGACCTGGTATCTGTTGCACGATAATGCACCGAATCGCACCTCACTCGTTGTTCGTCAATATTTGGCTCGAAATCAAGTCTGTGTACTGAATCATCAACCGTATTCGCCTGATTTGGCCTCGTGTGACTTCTTACTATTCACAAAAGTAAAATTGAAGTTAAAAAGTTGTGTTTTTAATGACATTTCGACCATCAAAACAGCTTCAACACGAGCGCTAAATACAATTTCACAAAATGAGCTAGAACGCGCATTATAATTACTGTTGAATCGCTGTAACAAGAGTATTGAAACTGGAGGAGAATATTTTGAATAAAGAAATCGAAAAATATTCTTATATTTTGTTTCAATGATGTTTTCCTCGGTCAGCCTCGAAACTTATTTGTCGCACTATGTAATATTGAACTACGATGGCGACGTAACACAGAGCTTCTGTCTGATCGTAGTTCAGAATTACAATGTTCGCCCGGTAGATGACCCACGCCACTGTGCGAGATCCCTTGCGCATGCGTCGCCTTGCGTAGTTATTTTTTCTGACTGCACTGGCCTGGAATAGCTTTATTTACCTCATCAAAACTTTTAAATAATCCTCCTAAGTACTCCTAATGACTGAAAACATTGTTCTACAAGCGATTAATAGACGACATAAAATTCGCAGTTTAGTAATGAACATGTAAATGTTTTTGTACATATCAAAGTTATTTTAGTATGATTCATTACACATAAATCATTATACATCAATTTATGTTAATATGTGATTGCAATTTGTTGAAATTGTGCAGGCGCATGCAGTCACGATAGATCTGCGGAGCTTATGGGGGAATCTGCGAGAAACCCGTACGGTTTCGAGAGTGTAAAATGCAATAGTTGGAGCGACTTCAAGTCCAGCCGTTGCGATCGAAATGTTATCATACCTATGGGAGAATTGTCGCCATGCTCTGTGTTAGTATAACCCGTTCGACTATGTTGGATTTATCTGATAGATATACTTTCTTGTATTCTAAAGGAAACGTAACTTTGTAACACTAGCCTGGGTCTATATTTCGACAGTTTATAGGGTGTTCCAAAAGTCACTCGCAATCGGAAAATAAGGAGTTCTTGATGTTATTTGAAGTAACTTTTTCCTTAGCACAAATGTAATCCGCGGCTTCGTTTACGAGTTATTAACGAAAAACTTTGATCAATGAGAGGCGAGCTCGAACGAGCGAACGAAGCCCAGTTTCACTCAATGGCTTGGCCGCCTCGCGCCAGCCGAGCTCGCCTCTCACTGTTTTTCCTTAATAATTTGTAAACGAAGCCGTGGATTTCATTTGCATTAAGGAAAAAGTTACTTCAAATGTTTTCAAGAACCCCTGATTTCCCGACTGCGAGTGACTATCGGGACACCCTGTATATTGGAACAGATATGGTCTGTAGATGCATAACGCGGTTCCGCTTTAACTCGTCACTCGGGACCTTCCAGTCGTACAATAAATACGTGCCTTATTTGTTCTTTAGAATGTAGTCATAATTACAGTGGCCCACAAAACTGTCCATACACATTTTAAAACGCAATAACTTTTTTAAGACTGGTCTAAGTGACTTGAATTTCTTTTAGGTGATAGAGGGACTAGTCTACTAGACGATGATTAAAATGTCTTTTTTAAATTTTGCAATTACTTAGGATGATAGAAAAAGTAAGGAACTCTCGTTTTTTAACTTTTTTATCTGAGCCGATAAAAGAATATTTAAAATGCCTTTCGTAGATCTCAGTAACTTATATGCGTGTTGAAAATTTGATCGAAGTCGATTAACACAGAGTCGAGCTACAAGCGTTGAAAGATTATAAAAACTGTAGATTTTTTCCAGTTTTTGGTCAAAATCGTGATAAAACTGCGATTTTTGTTATCTTTAATTTGTTATAATTCATAACAACGTCAACTGATTTCGATCAAATTTTCAATACGCATATAAGTTACTGAGATCTACGAGAAGCATTTTTTAAATTTCCGTTATAGACTCAGATAAAGAATTAAAAAACAAGAGTTTTAATTTTTTTCGTCATTTCAAAGTATTCAATTTTGGTCATCGCCTAGTAGACTAATTCCGCTATCGTCTAAAAAAATTCAAGTCAGTCAGACCAGTTTTAAAAGAGTTATTGTGCTTTAAAAAGTGTATGAACACTTTTGTTGGCCACTGTATATCTAAAGTATTCAACTGTGTTTTCACCTAGTAGCCTAATTTCCAATAGTCTATAAAAGCTAATCTTAGAAGTACGTTTGCACCGTCGACAGAAGTTCAGAAACGAAAATATTTCTACAAATATGCAATATTTCTCTCGTCGGGTAATAATTTTGATGTTCAATATATGTGTTCGAAATGCTTATGGTATTTATAAAGTGCGAAAACGTAAAAGTTTAAGTTGATACGAATCGTTGTTGACGATAAGAATTGTCAATTTTGTTGTTATATTCTGCACTCATATTTCTATAAATTAATGTATAATTGTATTTTTCAGCACCGGTAAATTCTACCTCCAGACAAATGGAAAAGCTCCATTTTCAAAGGGATTAGTTGGCACAGTGTACCATAGAGAATTGTAATAAAACATACTTCACTCTTGCTTGTTGAAAAGTGTGATGCGATGATGTAAACGCGAATAAATGGTACATGCAAAAAGTATAGTAAAATTGTGTTAATTCAATCAATGTGAATTAATCTTGGTGTACATAAATATATTAAATATTATTAATACATGTATACGTAAATGTAAATACGACCCGTAACATTTTAGAAAAAAAACTATAATCTTCACACGACAAGAAGACATCTTTTTGTTTACATTTCCCCTCTTACTAGCTACCCCACTCCCGCAATTGTCGGTAGCGATTGGCCAAAAACTGTGATAAAGATCGCCGTCGGTCAGTAGTGACCGATTGCTACGGCAGTGGGGCAGCTAGTAAGTGGGGGAATAGGTAAACATAAAGGTGCCTTCTTGTCTCGTGAGGATTATACGTGTAAGAACGATTCTCTGCTTCGTTTCGACATGAATTTATATGAATGAATAACTTTTTAGAATAAGAACTATGTGTGAGAGCGATTCTCGACTTTGTTACGGCATGAATTTGTGGTATAGAAAATTGCTAAATAGATGTGCACATTTTCCAAAAATATTTGGAAATTCGTATTTTGAGCAACGCAACTGCAATCACGTCAAAAGTTATTAGGTCTACCGGAAAGTTCTGTCCGTTTTTTAATTGAAAGAAAATAACACAAACTCCGGACGTGCGACTGAAGTGGTGCGTGCTAGCGACCCTGTTATAATAAATGCTGGCGATGTGGCGTGCATTACTCGAAAGTGCAGAAATGACTTTATTGCCGGAAAGAAGACGACTCGAAAAAAATCATGAACTTAAAAGTTGCAATGAAGAAGGCTATCGCTCTACGAAATTGAAAACCTAACGAACGTAATCTTTTGTCGATTGCACGTCGTTCGTTGAAGGACTGTAATTTGTTTCGCTGAGCCGAAAATTCCCCGTAAATAAACTGTTTTTTAAGGATTGAAAAAAAAGATAATTCGTCCCGGAGAAAGTTAGGCGGACGCAGCACATAAATTCCGTTGAAGGACGGAACAGTATTAGTGACTTACATTTCCATATGAAATGTAAGTACAGTGGGTGTAGAAAGTATTTGTACATCTTTTGAAGCAGAATAAGTTTTTTATAATTGGACCACGCGGTCTAAATTTTTTTTGGGATGATAGATAGATTAGTTTACTAGACAAAGGCTAAAAAATTATTTTCAAAAATTGCAATTTGTTGACGTGATAAAAGAATTAAAAAATGACGTTTCTCTAACTTTTTTATCTGAGCCTATAACGAAAATTTAAAAAATGCATTTTGTAAATCTCGGTGACTTATATGCATGCTAAAAATTTCATCAAAATCGGTTAACTTTGACACGAGTTGCAAGCAATTAAAGATTGCGAAAATTGCAGTTTTTCACGAATTTCAATCAAAAACAAGGAATTTTTACAATTTTCAGTGGCTGTAGCTTGACTATTCGTCGACTGATTTCGATGAAATTTTCAGCATGCATATAAGTTATCAAGATCTACAAAACGCATTTTTTAAATTTTCGTTATAGGCTCAGATAAAAAAGTTGAAAAAACATCATTCTTTAATTCTTTTATCGTGCCAACGAATTGCAATTTTTGAAAATAACTTTTTAACCCTTGTTTAGTAAACAAATCACTCTAACGTTCCCCCCAAAATTTATACCGTTTTGCCCAATTATAATAAAGTTATTACATTTTTAAAGATGTACGAATACTTTCTACACTCACTGTATGTACTGTGACCTTAGGAATTCTGCATAAAATTTTAATACTTCACGTGATTTGATCGTGTAACAAAGTAGTAACAGATAATTCAAAATGATAAAAAATGCTTTATATATCGAGTCCGAACAGACTAGCCGGTTATGTTCGTTATGACTGACGATTTTAAAAATGTCGAACTATCGTCTTGCAGTAATTTTTGCAGTTAGTTATTTTATTTTACAGCGTAAGTACTTCGGAAACGTTTTGTTTAACCCTTTTATGTCAAATCGAAATTGTGTTAGATTGTACGACCCATGGCAAAAAGTTTTTGGCCAAATGTGACAATACGAAATTATTTCACAATATTGTTGCTTTCGAAACGCAAAGTGCTATCTTATGGCCATAAAACGTTTGGACACATTAAATAAGTTTGTTCACGAGTAAACACAACAAAAATATTTTAATTTTTTTATTTCCAATCAGAAAACAAGAATAAAGCGAAATTGTAGTTGGAAAAAAGTATTTGTCATTATCAATTTATAAACGAATAAAGGTTAGCTTTTAAATTATTTATATTATCTAATATTTTGTAATATTCTTTAATAGGTCTATTATTCGCGTCTTTAAATAGTTCGAAAAGTGCTCACGTCGCAGCATGATTGTTATTTCAAGTTTCTTCAACAACTAGCTTGAAAGTGACTGATGCAAGATTTTCGATAATTATGGAGCATTTCACTAGTATTCGCGTAGAGTTGTTTACATTTTGATTCGAACATTTGGTTAGTGAAACTTGATACGGCAATGCTCTCGCGACCGAATACAGTAATTTCTCCCGGAAATGCCAAATTTCGGGTTGCTGTGAATTTCCCTGTGCTGGTCCTACGCCTATGTAATTTATTGCCACGTCGATGCTAAGGGTCGACGGAGTCGGTCAAGCGTGTGATGCGGCACGCAGCGCGAATTCCCGGAAGACAATACAAAATGGTCTGTTTGGATGTGAGTCAGATAAGAAAAACCGCAAAACTACAAGGTTAAAGCTACAAGGCACTAGGTATATGACCGTCGAATCGAGACATGTGCTCTCCGAATTGCCTTCGAAACGTGTTATGTGGCTACTGAATTGCCTTAGAATCATGTCATGTGGCCTCCGAATTTCCTTCGGAACGTGACAAAAAATTATAAATAAAAAAGTTAAGTCATCGTTTTTATTCCAGCATTACCATGTATTCATATTAATGTACACTGACATGCTGGTCGCTGCCTTTTTTTGCCGACTGCCCCGAATTTCTATAGAAACGAGTTGCAAGGCTGGAAAAATCGCGACTTAGTATTCTCAGATCTGTCGGTTTCAATTCCTACCTCCGACCATTTCTGGGAGAAATTACTGTACTTTTTTCGAGGATTTCTGTCGGACAAATATTTTTTCTCAACTACAATTTCACTTTATTACTGTTTCCTGATCGAAAATAAAGAAAAGTATAAATTATGTTCTTTGTATCTTCTAGGTAACAAACCTATTTAATATGTCCAAACATGTTATGGTCATAACATTGCAGTTTACGTTCCAAAAGCTACAATATTTTTAAATAATTTTATATTGTCACGTTTGGCCGAAATTTTTTGTCAAGGGTAGTACTTATTACTTCTAAACAATGACTGTTACTAACAGTCTATTGGTAATAATCCGTTATGCTTGCAGCGACAAATTCGTCATCAATTCTTAACACAATAAAGATGAAACTCTACTTGAGGTATTTAGTTTTACTATTTTCCTTAAAAAAGATATATTTATATTGCTTTTGTAGGAGAAAATGAGACGATAGATCGGATAAGATCGGGCTGCTTTAACTGTTTTAAGCAATTGAGCTATCCCGGCCGATCGACAACACATTCTCTCCTAGTCTTTATAAATACAACAAAATTATGTTACTTATGTTACTAATGAGGGGTTCCTGAGGTCATTTGAAGCAACTTTTTCCTTAGCGCAAATGCAATCCGCAGTTTTTGTTTACAAGTTATTAAGGAAAAACACTGATCAATGAGAGGTGAACTCAGCTGGCGCGAGGTGGCCAAGCCAATGAGCGGCACTGGGCTTCGTCCGCTCGTTGGCTCGGCCGCCTCGTGCCAGCCGAGCTCGCCTCTCATTGGTCACTGTTTTTCCATAATAATTCATAAATGAAGCCGTGGACTGCATTTGCATTAAGGAAAAATTTGCTTCAAATGATCTGAGGAACGTCTCATTTCCCAGAAGCAACATGATTTTTCAGACATCCTTTTTTTGGTAATAATGTCATCAATTTCTATGGTTGGAAAATAATAAAATCATAATGTACTCTCTTTTCCTCAGGGAACCGGAACCTAATAAACTTTCTAATGATCCTTATCGAAATTCTTATAAAGAAGTGTATCTTGGACAAGCGGCAGAACTTCTTCAATTCATGGATTTGCAAGAGATCACATTGATACACTTTCATGGTTACATACAATCAACAGATACAAACGATGTTGTTGACCTAATGCAAGGTACATTTTCGCACTATAAATTCATTTGGTTTAAAAATTGTACATATATAAGTACGTACGAATATATTAGCTCGTAAGCAGGTAAAAAAGTGATGAAATAGGTTTGTTATCGTTAGTAAACAAAACGGTTGCAATCATTAATTTCCATTATACAGTAGAGACATCCTTATCCGAACGTTTATTTTTACAATATTCTGATATGCAAACGTTCCGTTATCCAATCATTGTATTGCTTAGATATGTCATCGCTTAGTAGAGAATATGCAGGAAATTTTTAGATAATAGAATGATTTAGTATAATAACCTTCGGATAAGAGAATTCTGTACTGTATTCACTTTGAATAATGCACTAGACTATATTGGCTTCGTAGCAGATTAATTCAGCGCTGTAAAGGGTGTTTGAAAAGTATATGTCAATACCGTTGCAGGATGATTCTACACCTTTGGATCGGTGGAGATTTTATAAAAAATGTCACAAAATTGTCCGTGACCTTGATTTTCATGATCAATTTTCATTTTTACTGCACCGTGTAGTACTCGTCAGGAGGAACTGTATATCTCGTAAAAATTAACCATTCTGTTGAAAAAGTTATTATTTATTATTTATTATTTTATTTTTAAAAGTTATTATTTTTTTACTTATTTGAAAACTTTAACGTCAATTGTCAAGAGAACGGTCCATTTTCGACCCATGGTTCCTTCGAGACTATTGCTCATCCTAACGAGTACTATACGAAACAGTAAAACAAAAATCAAGGTCACGGTCTATTCTGCGGCAACTATTTTTTAAAAAATCTCGACCGATCGGAAAGTGCAGAATTGACATATACTACGGTATTTACATATACTTTTGAGACACCCTTTATAGCGATGAATTAATCTGCTACGGTATTGATCTAATCCAGTACATTGTTCAAAGGTGTATTTTGGAACACCTTGTACACAGGGAGTAGAAATATCATACTATTGTTATAATACCCATGAAATTGTTGCAGGTTATTTAGTTGGTACTAATTATAATGTCATCGCAGTAGATTATAGGGATATCACAAATCTTGACTATCTTGAGGCAGTTCTTCTTGTCGATGGTGTAGCTACAGTTATGGTCCAAACTATATACGATATGGTCGCGGGTGGAATGAATGAAACTAAATTAATACTCTCTGGATTTTCGATGGGTTCTCAAGTTTGCGGCTTCATTGGGCGCAAACTATCTTTCCAACTTTCAAAGATAATAGGTATACAATCTCCATACACAGTTATACGTTACCTCAAAACTATAGGGTGTCCCACAATTATTTTAACAGCCGAAAATGAGGGGTAGCTGAGGTCATTTGAAGTAACTTTTTCCTTTGCGAAAATGCAATCCGCGGCTTCGTTTGCAAGTTATTAACGAAAAACACTGGCCAATGAGACGAATTGGCGCGAACCATATGGTTATCGATCGGCCGAGCGGCACGTGCGTTTACCGCTGAGTTTGACAGTTGAAGGAGGGTCTGTGTGCGGCGTCCGAATCAATGAACAAGTCACGGAGCATGAACTTTTGATATTTTTTTTTACCACGTGACAGTGATAATTTCAAGAAAAACGCTATTCATCCTTATTTCAGAATGTCTGAAGAATGTTTACTAAATTTTCGGTCCCGAAATAATATGTAGTTTAACCGTGACAACCGTTTTAATTTTCTCACGTGTACCGTATGAAATTTGTATGCGATATGTACAGTGAAGATTAACAATAAGCAACCCAGTCGAAGTACATAAATGATATTTGAATTTAAATAATTCCGTGTCCGAACAGAATTCAACGAACGATGCGCAAAGCTAATTTAATAAATAATAATCGCGTTAAAAGACATAAGGGATATGTTTGTTAGAGAAATATGAAGAATATTATCAATAA